AGAATCATAACTTTATTCTTAAAATATAATTTCAATTTTTTTTTTTTTCAATTCCAGATAATTTTAGCGGTGACAGCCCTCTGTGGATCAGCTGAAGAAGTAGCAAGAAACAGTAGATTAAGATTCCCCAGTGAAATACCCCAACAGGTATTTTGAAGGTTTATTTTTAAAGCAAAGACTATTCAAATAAGAGTAAATTTAACATAATCTTGAAACATCTATATTCTTCAGGTTGACTTGGGACCACAACTGTTTGAATCCGAAACTCAAGTACTACCAATGGTCATCCATGGCAATGCTGCGGTCAACACACCACACATGATATACACAAAGGTATCTTCATTAATTCACATTTTATTTCTAAAGCTGATCAGAAGGCAACTTCACTAAAATTATTAGCATTATTCAAGATTTTGAATTATATTCATAAAAATAATTTGAATATGAACAAGAGACATAATCATATTTTAAAATAAAATTAGGAATTACAGATAATAAAACAAAAGATATTTTATTTTTAGCAAGCTCCTTCAACTATCAACCCCTTCGGCCAAATAATCCACAAACCATATTCCGAAGGTCTCGTATTGCCCTATTACCAGCCGCCAGAAAGGCCACAAACGGAGTTCCACCAAACCATGCCCCCTCCCTTGAGAGCAACACCATATGGACCACCAAAAGCAGTGACAAGTAACTTACAAGGAAACAGGCAGTCCAGCATACAGGTCCACCAAACAGGAGCACCACATAGAAATCAAGAAAGGCAGCCAGAAAGGTAAAAAAATTATATCATCGGTCTCAATATGGAACTGTTTAATCTTCAAATCCCGAATATTCGGAAGAAACCGAAAAAGTTAAACCAAAAAAAATTAACTTTCAAAATATTGAGATTTTTTCAATGGAAAGCCATAGTAAGTGATATATAATCAAATAATTATACTTATGAGATTCTACATTGAGACCGACTATATGCTTAATCATATCATTTTTATATTTTACAATATATTTATATTAGTAAACCGATAATTTACTTATATCAACAAAATTAATTTAAAAAAGAAGAATGGACATAAGTATTAGATGGGACATGATATAACCTCTATATAAAATCTTTAAGTAATAAAATGAAAAATACTTTTACTAAAACTAGGGTGAACGCACCAGTTATGGACAGGTTGTTCTTTAAATGTAAATAATAAGCTTCCTTGTTGATTTAAAGGTTCCAGTTTTTTCTAGATTGAAGAAAAATCCTCTCTATTGACAACTGTATGAACAAAGTTCCCAAAAGAAAATTTTATAATGCCTATCATTGTTGTTTCTATAGTGCTCTTGAGATCAGCGAGTTTCATCAGAGGATCCAGGATTTAATTTTGGAGGGCTTCAGCTCAAAAGCTTCTTTTTTCATAAAAATAACAATAATTACTTCGGGAAAAAAGAAAGAAACTAACTACCTATATGAAATGGTGTTTAAGTGATCCGTAAACACCTTTTCAATGTAATTACACGAACAATAATACTTTGAGAGATAATTTTTTAATATTCTTTTTGATAAAACATGGTTATATTTTCCCATTTTGGGGAGAGGGGAGCTTTAGCCCGAAAATACAAATTGATAGTTCTATTCTTCTTGATTTATATGCATGAGAGCTCCCTCTAAGGATTACTTGAATTATTTACTAAGGGCTGGTCGTATAAGACATATCATCAAATTAAAATTATCTGGTCTGCAGCAAGGTAATTCCACCATTTCCTGACTTTAAATTACAATTCTTACTTTATTTGCAAAATATCAACATTGAGGAAAATATTATTTATATAACAATAATTTATTTGAAATTACATCGATTGAGCATTTTGATACAATGCAAATCTTTTAGTCCGTGGTACAGACCCCTTTTTAGCAAATTATTAACATCTGGCTGAAACTTCGTAAATAGCTTTCTCATCGTAACCTACAATTATTTTATTCTCGGAATTGGGCCGTTTTCAATCTGGAGGTCTGCAAACTTTATCTATTTAATGAGATAATAAAAACTTGTAAATACCAATTTGTTTTCCACTTGGTTCGTAAGATAATTTGATCACAAAATAGATAAAAAAGGTGTCCTACAAAAATATTGGGCCGTTTGGCCTATATAACCTCGTTATTTTGACAATTTGGGGATGTAGGTCATGCCAAAGAGCTCAATATTTTTGAAGGCCACCTTTTTCCCAACTTATACTCGAACTAAAAAAAAATTTTCATCAATAAAATTATTTAAACCTTCAGAAAATGATTCTTTCTGATTTTATAGATAAATTTTTAAAACCACAAACAAATGTTGAATTATAACTATAATCAAAAATATAAAATTAAAAAAAAAAAAATCAGAAATAACAAGAAATTTTAGTCAAAAATAAAAACATTTCAAATTTTGTCACTTCATTTACATTCTGTGTCGTAAATAATTTTTAAATTTTTATGATTAATCTAAATAAGCCATGTATATAAATTAAAGACAAACATCTTGAAACAGAAAACATTTCATAAGACTGTACATTAGCGGTTTATTGTTACATACTTATTTTTATCAGTCAACTAAGAAATAAGAAGAATATACATAACAAATTGTAATTTGGTGATTTTAAATATAATTATGAAACATCAGTAATGTATTGATATGAGGAATCCTTGATAATTTTGAATAAATATTTACTTTTCTTTGTTATAGGCATCGATTTGGATCTCATAGAGTACCATTAATAAATGCACAGCAAACAAAACAGAAACTACAGAGTCAGTATCCTCCGAAACAGCATCGTCCTTCTAGTCAGTATCATAAGGACATTCAGCATCAACAACCAGACACAATGTTTAAATATTCAGTTCTCACAAACCACAGTCCTTTACCTAAAATCCCACATACAGAGAAATTTGAGCAAGACTTTTTCAAGAGTCACAAGCAACCTACATATATAAAAAATAAGAGACCGGCCAATCATAAAAAACAACCATCATATCATCACCATGATGATATTTCAGATTTTCCCGAGGATTCAGCGGAATTCGATCAAGGGATACCAGATTGGCAAATTAAAGGCAATTTCTATGATACCCCAGAGGAGCATGATTCATATTTCTACAAGAAGAATAAAAACAAAAACCCACACACTGGTTTAAGCTCCGGTAACAAACATCATTTCAATAGTGACTTTCCTTTTTCTCATGATTTTTCAGATTTTCCATCTTTTCAAAGCAGTAAAAATAATAAAAGATTTCCACATTTTAAACCCGATTCAAACAACAAAAGAGGTGAAGTGAAGGCTGTATACGAACCCAGCCAAGAACACGTGAATCAAGACTATGACTTCAAAAAGTATTTCCCTAAATCTCAAAATCAACGAGATAGGACCAAATCAGAAGATTTTTTGAACCATGACAGTTTCTCGGGAGAGAAATTTTATTCCGATTATGATTTTCCAGAGAATTTTCATTCACAGCACGAAGACGAACCTATTAATTCAAATTTTGGCTCTGAGTGGATCCCAATCAATGCCCCAGAAGGTGTACCAGCTAAGTCATATGACATACCCCCACCTGATCTATCAAGGGGTGGATTCAAAGACAGAAACATAATAAGACGAGAATATCCTCATGAACGTGAAGATTCAAACCTTGTTTATGGCAAACAAAAGCCAAGCAATTCTGAAGAGGTTGTATCAGCTGTAGTGAGGGTCAAGCAGTAAATTATAAGGAAAGAAATTGCCAGGCTCTTGCGGATATTGCATATAAAAAAATTAACCAGTAAAGTACAAACAAATCACCAAGGTTTTTATAAATATTTTCTCTGATTTTTAAAGAAAAGTGTACGTGAAGATCACATGGTATAACAGAAGTAAACCTTTTTCCAATAACTATTAAATAATCATTTTGGAAAGAACTGATCTGCTAAAAATCTATTTTTGTAAAATAGTCTAAATTAGTAGTTGAAGTTCGTGTATGTTAAATTTAAAATATGTACTAGGTTAGTATTTACAGATCTGCTTATAAAAAAGTCTTGGGCAAATTTTATTTCAAAAAATTAATAAAAAGTAACAAAAAAAATTAACTTTATTCATTATTTTGAATATAATCCTTATTTGAAAATTATTTTATTCTAGAAACAATTAATATTTATAAAAAAAAAATCATTTAATAATGCCCAAGTCTAAGTTTAAAGTAGACAAAGCTTTTACATAAGGTTTAAATAAATTCATCATCATTGTTTTTATCACTAGTAAATTTTAAAATATATATATTGCATGGCTTGGTTGGCTGTGAAACTATTATGTATTGGGGAATATATTTTGCTGAAAAATTAGATTAAAAAATTAGTCTAAGCTCGCAAGGCAAAGTGTCTCTCTTAATAAGTCTTCAATATTTTTTTGATGTTAAGTAATACGATTAACCTACAAGTTTTTCTGTATTTATGCTAATTTGTGAAATATTAGGAATAATTTAATTGAAAAAATGCATTAAGAAAAACTTTAAATTAAGGCTGATCATAATTATATTTATTTATTCAATAATTAATTATTTATTTTCATTGGATTTATATAAATAAATAATTAGCTAATATCAGATATAATAAAAATTTATTATTGTTTAAAATGAACTTTGTATATAGCATAGAATGAATAGAATATATACTTTATATCCTGGCATGACAATATTAATAGTAATTTAAAGGATACATTCAGTTTCCTTTGACAATAAGTGTGAAAATAAGTTATTAACTGATAAAATGAAGTACATAAGTTATGAAAAATAAATAAAAACATTATTCAAATAGTAAAACTAATAGAGGTGATACAGTTGAACTTGTATGTATATTATGGGTTTATATAAACATAATATTGTATCATACATTCTGAATCTCATTGCACATTGTATAAATTTGTTATTAGTTTAAGACTAGAGATTCTAGAAAATAAATTTGTTTTTTTGTTTTCCAAGTTTACTTTTATTTTTCCCATTACATTTAATTTCTTTGACAAGGATCTTTGTAAGGGAAATTGATATAGTCAAATACGTCTCTCTCAGAACTGACTGGCAATGGCTCACCAGGAATACCTGAAAGAAATATAATTTCAAATTTAAAAAATATTTATGTTATTAACACAATTCATTTACAATTAATGAAAAAAAAAAAGTAGGCTAAATAATAAAATTTAGTGTACCAAATATTGATTTTATAATTATTGAGAAGATTAATGAAATTCTGACAGTAGGTAAATTCTAGGATCAAATTTAATTAACCCAAAGAGGTCTTGGACCATATCTGTAATTTTAAAGCCATTCTCATAAATTCAAGTAGTTTTCATAAACTACAAAATAATTTCCAACAATTTTTTTTTGGGGGGGGGAGAGGAGCTTTAGCCCGATAGGTTTTTTTTTTCATATATATATATATATATAACGATAATTACTTTGGGAAAAAAATAAATTAACTACCCATATGAAATAGTATTTAAATGATACTTGAAGTCCTATTAAATATAATTAATTACATGAACAATAATACTTTAAGAGCTAATTTTTTAATATTTTTTTTCAAAAAACAGGATTACATTTTACCATTTTGAGGGGAGGAGGAGGCTCCAGCCCGAAAGTTCCCAGGATGCAGGAATATAACTACCCAGATAAAAGATATAACAGACAAATAATAATACTAAAAATAACTTCCAATATAGAAATTTAGGCACTTAGTAGTAAAATGTATAATCAGAATAGAGCCTGAGTCTATAGAGTTATAGAGAGCAACCTTCTTTTGAGAACTATAGAACTTATCACTAAGCTTAAACTCTTTTCTGATGACACAAACCAAACTATATTTTTTGTGAGGGAAACTTCAAAGATAAAATAACAATAAGAAATTAAAATTTTGTTTGTTACGACATAAGGATATAAGAAAAAAAAAACATCATCATTTTCAATTGTTTCCCGACATTTACCATTAATAAATAATTTAGAAAATTCTGTAAATAAAATTTACCAGTTGAACCTAGTGGTCTTAAACAGTATTCATTGAGAGTGAAGCCTTCTTGTATAGCATGAGCACGCATTTCTTTATTAAACATATCACTCCCAGTAAAGTATAGAGTTGCACAGTTATATTGATCATGCGGCGTAAGTCTTATATCTAGTCTTCTTGCAATCTCGCTTATTTTACAGACGCCCTATTATTAATAAACAATATTAAAGTTAAAATCTTCTTGTGTTTTATACAGTATGTTAAATTATGAATACCATAAATTTGACATCTCCTAATGATATAGTGTCTGTAATCAAAGAAACGTTTTCCAATTTGTTAACAACTTTTTTCAATAAATTTGAAGCAAGACCCTTTTCTGAACAAGAAGAAGTAAAATTAGGATGAGTGATAAGTACGTCTATATCCCCACTTTCTGCTTTTCCTCGCCTAGAAGAAAAAAGATTCTATTAAATAACAATATATATACACTAACAGGCAAAAAATTCCACTCACTTGATTTTTCCATGTTTTTATCTAAAAATATTTCTGTAAAGTTGTATTTGTATATAATACATGGTATTTGTAGATAATACTTAGTATTTATGGAATTTTATTATCTTTTTTACCTTTAATAATTAAAATGTGATTGGGTAAGAAAGATTAGAGAAAAAAAAATTGAAAAATGAACCATTATTATTCTAAAAGAAATTAATTACATCATCGTTTAGTAGCGCGTGTTTCCTACTCTTGCCTTCACTACTTCTTGAAGATGCCTCGGCATAATTTCCACCAGTCAGGAAATGTCCCTTTGCTGGAGGATAGCCCATTCCTCCCGAAGAGCCCATTCAAGGTCCTGCAGTGTATCAGGAAGTGTTGCACGCGCTCTTATTCATCTTCCGAGGTTATCTCATATATGCTCAATGGGGTTCAAATCTGGAGAACGTGCTGGCCAGGCTAAAACCTCAATATTGTTCTGTTGAAGGAACGTCTGCACTATGCGGGCGACATGCGGGCTTGTATTACCGTGCATTAGAATAGAACGATCGCCGATTTCGTTGAGGATAGGCATCACATGAGGTTCCAAAATCTCATCTACATAGCGAATGGCCGTCAAAGACCCTCCACGAACAACAAACAATTCTGTGTGGCGCTCCATTAAAATCCCAGCCCACACCATTAAGGAACCACGTTGGAAAGGTTGGCTCTGGGAAAAATTACAGGCTGTATATCTTTCGTTTCTTCTTCTCCACACCCCTTCAAGCCCGTCTGGAGATCGAAGAGCGAATCTTGACTCATCTGTAAAAAGTACAGCACTCCATTCGTCCATAGTCCAATGGCTGTGTTCTCGAGCAAAAGCCAGCCGTGTTACTCTGTGAGTTCTGGTCAACTCTGGTCCTCTTACAGGACGAAAAGCCATAAATCCATACTCATTTAATCTTCTCCGAGCGGTACGTTCAGAAATTTGCACACCTCGAACTTCTATCGAGCTGATGAATCGCTTAAACAACGGTAAGGTGCCGGTTTCGTAAAATTCTCAAAGTCAAAAACCGGTCATCCCGTGGCTCTGTTACCCTAGGCCATCCAGAACCGGGCCTTCTATTGTAAGAACCAGTTTCCCGAAAACGCCTGACGGCGTCTCGTAAAGTTTCATATGGAACTCTGATGGCATTAGCTGCATATCTAATGGATTGTCTATCATCAATAAGTGCCACACTAGGCGCAACATCCTCAGCACTAAGAGGCATTTTTAAACTTAATATTGAAAAAAATTAAAAGCCGGAGACTAAGAAATGTGCTGTAAGAAACGGCACTGAACTAATGATACTGAATAAACATTTTGATTCCATAGAAAGTAAACATTGGAATCTAGAATCATTTCATTAAATTAAGGATTAAGGGTTATTGTCCTCTATATTAACATTCCTAATTGAAAATAAACAAACAGATTACCTATTTATTCATTAAAAACAATAGGCCAATCCAAAGCAGAAATATTTTTAGATGAAAACATGAAAAAATCAAGTGGGTGGAATTTTTTGCCTGTCAGTGTATATATATTTAAAAAGAGTTATATTCTTACCTATAACTCCCACATATAGTTATTAAATATTCTGGATCTAGTGCATTAATATTACTTCGAATTTTATCTTCAATAAGCTCAATTTCAGCACGGGGAATTTTCTTCTCAAAATCTTCCAGATACCTATAGAACACACCAATCATATTATTATTTAATAAAATAAAACAATCAATTACTAAGTTTTTTTTTTCATTTAGATAAGAAGAATGGAAAGTGCTCTAACAGGCATTATTGGATTTCAATGTACTAAAGAGAACCATACAAATGTTATATATGAAGGATTTAGTCAGTAAATTAGAGATAGAGTTGACAGTAAGCACAAAATATATTTGAATGTATAAAATAAAGGCTTGCGACTAATTCTAAGCTTGGACATTAAGGATATGTTCACATCCTGCACACTACTACAAAAGAGATCCAACAACAAATTATAAACGATAACCAGATTCATTAGAGATGATTATAATATACAACCATAGTTAGTAAATCAAGCATACATTAAGATGATGAAGTATCAATGCACTATACAATCATCAAAGCTGTCAAACACATGTTTAACAATCACTGTCTATCTATCAAGCAATGGATTATTAAAATTAACTTAGATTCATTCTAAATTAGCCAAATGGACCAAATCCACATTGTTCCATACTTGATACATAACGTCTCATACCACAACATATCCATCACAATTAGATGTGTATAAGAAAGGAGGCAATCAACTTAAGAGGAAGATGTCATAATTTAATGCTGTACAAATAACATGAGAAACTAATCTGATGTTTTGAGAGCTTAAATAAAATAAACACAATAAATAAAAAAAAAACTCTTACTTTAAGCCAATCAATTGGTGATGGTTTAGCTTATCTTTGTGATTGTGAAGATCTTTGGTACTTTTAATACCTAACTTGAATAGTTCTTGGGCTTTTGCAGGACCAATTCCAGTCACTCGTGTTAATGATTCAACAGCTATAGCAGTGTCATCATGTTTTATCTAAAATATTGCGAAATATATTAAAAGTTCCTAATCAATATTGATATTAACCGTTTAAATTGCAAATAATGTATCAATACAAAAAGTATAATTTTACTTCACAATCATACATTAAATGTTCTAAAAAAACAAAAATGAATAGCATGGAATATAAACTCTTACATTTTCTAACTTTCTAAGTTTTCCAGTGTGAATGAATTCATCAATTTTTTCTGCAATCTTTTTACCAACACCTTCTAACTTCCTAGCTTCTTCTCCTGAAGTAATTCGCTTTCCATAAGCAGCAATGGTATTTGCTGCTTTCCTATATGCATTGTGCTTATGAATATTTCGATTTACATTCTTTTCATAATTTGCTAATTCTGCAACGAAGTATACCATATAAAACAAAATGGATACATTACTATTGTAATTTTTCAACAATCTTTTTACCAATTAAAAAATCACAAAAATCATGATTTATGTTATCTTCTGCTGGAGCTTTTCTTTTACTCATATCAATGCCTGATATATTTAAATTTAGAATGCAACAGTATTCCAACCAAAATAGTGCAATATTTATAACCTGCTCAGAGGAAACCACTCCAATAACAAAGATATTCACGATGGACCTGTTAAGAGTTGGCAGCAAAGAGGTAATTGGTAATTCAGTTCAGATATAGCAAGTTCCTAAACTCCTTTGGAATTAAAAATAAAATTTAACGGAAATTATGCTAATCTTGGTATTATCGATAACGTATTCAAAAGGTATTTGGTGGTAAAAAAAAATTAGCTATGTAGAAAATAAGAAGTTCGAGTTGAAGATAAATAAACTTGAAATTATTTATTTCTGATTTGGTCATATTATGAAGTTCATTCAATATTCATAAACAATCAAAGAAACACGCAAAACAGAATCCAATATTTTCTTTTCTTAGCCCTGAAATTTGGTACAGCAAAACTAAAAATCATTTATTTATTTTTTTGACTGAACACCCCAAACAATTTTTTGTCAATTATTCACAACAGTCAACCATCAATCCACTATTAAGAATGGCATATTCATTTTAGAATTTAAAGAGGGGCCAAAAGTTGGCTGAAATCTACTCTGAAGCAATAATTCTGCTGGAGCATAGGAACAGCTGAGTGAAGAGAAACTTGGATGCAGAAAAAATCACCAAAACATAAAATTCAAGTAGAAATTTTGAAAATCTGAGCCTAAGCATTTTTTAACGTTCCACATGATAACAAAGTTTTTTTTTATTCATATTCAGCAAGGAAAATAAAAGTATCTGTTAACTTTTCTTAATGATTGATCGAAACTAAGAAATAACAGACTTCTACATTTCTACATTATTAAAAAATGCCTGTTTCAGTTTATGAAGAAATTCCTGCAAGGAAATAGGCACTAACTTAGTAAATTCTAGTATTGAAATTATTTATTTTTATTATTTATTTATTATCTATTTTTTAAATGTTTATGTTTATAAACATTAATATGTTTATGTTTGAACATGCCCAAACTATGTTTAATTATAGTGGATCAAGATTTAATTTAACTTAAAATTCTTTCTTATTTTTTTTTTATACTGCATGCACCATTTTCATAGTAATTTATTTAACAAATTCTGGAAAACAAAATATAAATATGTTTTCCTTAATATCAATTTATTTATTTCGCTTCAACACTTCAGATAAAATTTTGCTTCTTTTACATTTTTGAACAGAATTTAATTCCTTTTTTGTTGTCCTAGAGTATATTTTTCAAATATGAATTTATATTTGTCAAATAATAAGTAATATCTTTACATATAAATGTTAATATGATGATTAACTATAAGAGTCATGGATTTATTTTTTATTTTCAAAATAATTTCTAAATTCATACTATTTTTTTTTTAATACAGTTGTGTTTACAGTTATCTAGGACACACAGACAGTATTTAAATTATATAAAAAAATAAATTGAACACCATAAATTAATTAAGAACAATGCACTATATTAGTTATTTAGCCATAATACTTATTTGAACATAAATTTCAGTACTGCAATAACAAAACAAACATCTGATAAGAAATAAGAACAATATTTACAAAGCCCGTTGTTTTGCTATCTAAGTCATATTATGTTCAATCAAAACCACAAAATAACATTTTAAAAATTTAAAAATACACATTTTTAAAAAAGAAATGGTGTAATTTAGTTGTTTCATTGGGGGCTTCCTTCTGCTTTTTCAGACTTGGGAACCACTGCCGGCTGGTTTGTTGTAGTGATTGGAATTTCTCTTCCTTCACTGATTGCTGCACCCTGAAATAAAGAAAATAAAATCAGATAATTAAAACTTATGCATAAAGATAATTATTTAATTTTTAAGGCATTTAAATAAATGTCAAGTGTTGTTTAGTGAACGGTTTCAACAATTACCTTCTTTGGTGCTCTGAGTGTTAGCACACCATCAGATGACAAGCTTGAAGCAATGCTATCTCCCTCAACATCATCTGGTACCTTGTACCTGCGAACGAATTGTCGAGAGACGAATCCATGCTGGTCAGAACGCTCTTCATGTTTTCCTTCAACGATTATAAAACCGTCTGCAATTTTAACTTTCAACTCTTCAGGCTTGAATTGCTGAACATCAAGGTTTACTTTGAATTCATTTTTGTCAGTTTGGATCGAAGAGATACCAGATTCTCCTAGATTTATGTTTCTCCATGGCCTCAAGTAACCAGATCTAAGAGGATTTAATAAGTAATTAGCAACAGGGGTGAGGGTTTCATTGTTAAGTAAGCCAAGACCAAAGTGCTGATCATATATATCTGACATCCTTGGACGCCTGTATTCATCCAACCAAAGATCATTCATCAATGGTAACAGAGACATCTGCAAAGAAAACAAAGTAGAAAAAAATATAAGATATTTCATTTATTATTTATTTAATACTGCCTATGATAATAATGAACAAAGTGAGCTGATTTTTAAGAAAAAGAAATTTATTTATAAAGTACGAATAGATCTTACATAATCAGTGGGAATACTTTTCCATTTTTGCATTTCAAAATTTTATTTCAAAACCAACATTAAAAAGAGACATATTTTTGGTAAATGGTTATTCTTAAAGAGTTATATAAATTATACAAAAAAAATGTAATTATTAAAAATTAATTCAGTTACTTTCACATCAGATGTTTCACATATGGGTCATTTTAAAAATGTGTAACATTGCAGTCCTTAAGATTTCAGTTTATTTATACTTTATTTTGGGAGTAATTTTAAGATCTACAGTTAAAGGAAAAGTAATTATAACAAATTAACACCATATAACAAATTTCTAGCATTCAAGCTAAACTATTAAAAAAATATATATGTTCATAATTTTTGTTAATGAATCATTTTTTCCTTGTACTTAACCATGTTATCATACCATTAATTATTACTGTATAAATAAATAAATTAATTTGAGGATTAATATTGCAGTAATATATTATTGGAAGAACAATTAAATTAATTGTATATAAAATATTGCATGAAAATTAATATTACATTGTCAGTATATTAAATTTTAATTACACCTGAAAGTCGATCTTGGGTGTTACCCCAGTTATGTCATTTGTTTTTGAGACAGATTTATGACAATTACCTATTATTTAAAGAAAGATATAACATTTTTCTTTCAATTAAATTAAAATTAAAAATTCTTAAAATTAAATTAAATTAAATTTGCCTTTGCCTTCTATAGAGGCATTCATTATTACGTAGAGGCTTCCAGATGGATTGCTATGAGCTACATGCCCCACCTATCTTAACCTCCATGCCTTCATATCATGGGATATTTATTATAGTTTCTGTAAGCAGTTCTTTATTGATCTTTCTTCTGCGTTAGTACTCTGATCCCAGATCGTTCCGATTATCGTGTGGAGGGTTTTCCTCTCAAATCTTTCAACACTTTTTCTAGGGTGCTGTTTAGTGTCCAAGTCTCAGCCATATATTAGAACTGGCTTTATCATAGCAGTGTGCACACTTAGTTCGAGATTTCTTATTCAATACCTACTCGAGGTTTTCGGGATTTCAATACCTTTGAGAGGGAGAAGAAAGCTCTGTTTGCACTAGATATACGCTAATGATTACTAATGATAAGCAGTAATAAAATAAAATATTCTCTTGTTAATACAATTTATAGGTTTTTTAATAAAGGTTTTTAATGTAGATACAGTGTTAATACTCTGTATAATATTGTATAATAATGTTTGAACTAAGTAACACTTATCACAATCTTGTGTGCTGAGAAAAATTACAAGAAACTATCTTAACTTGAACAATTAAACTTTAACAAAATAGAATTAAACTGGAACAAGAATGTAGTAATACAGTCTTACCATTATATGTTCTTAATATTTTAAGAAATGTTATAGTATTCAGTCAAAATTTTTTATAAACTATGATGAAAATGATTCATTTTGCAAATGATCCTTGTGCAATATTATAGTTAAACGTTACTAGAATGTTTCAGTAACTATAATAAACTAATATTAATATATTAAATACAGCTATAATAAACATCTATGTTCTAAATACCTCTTGATATTATAAGAAGTGAGTACTTGAAAAACACTGTTACAAGAACTAATAGATACTGAACATGAAGCAGCAGTCCTTCCTTTTATATAGCCCCAGCCCTCTCTGGAGACTAATGATTCTGTTCTAGAATAATCTGGGAGGGAATGAAGTTCTGTTGTGTAACACACCGTTTATTAATAGCAGCTCTCTTTAAATTTAGCCCAAGACTGTAGTGATTCACAAGATATTGGAGGAGAGGTAGAATTCATAAGAGTAAATAAAGAAAATACTAACCCTCTGCAGCACATTCCAAACCTATGAAAGCTTCATTGTCCTCACTTCATAAAACTTAAAATATCCTACTGTACAAAATTAAATATATGTTTTATACTCCTGTCATTGGAAATATAAACATTGTATAATTAACACCAATATTAAAGAAAAAGAACCACTTGAAATCACGGCTTTGATACATTTCTGTATCAACTGATAAAAAATAGTCCGTGTGTTACGTATAAGTTAATAGGTAGTTTACATGATGAAGTTATATCATTCATATAGATTTTTCTCTATTTTTTTTTCTTTTTCCTCTATTTGTATTTAATTACTGTAATAACATCAATGAATACTAGTAAAACAGATAAGAACTTAATACAACGTTTAGTTGAATTTACATATTTTCTTGACTGTTTTAATTTTTTCCTAGGATTTGTTTGTTCAATAATATCAGTTATTTTTATGAAATTGATTTTTCAGATTCGTGATTATAGATATTGGAAACATATCAATACTTTTATATGATACATTGATATATTTATCGAATTGTACGGATATTAAATTATAATTTTTTTACTATTGCTCAAAAGCGCTAAATGCACTTTGCAAGATCAAGACCAAAGACCGTTTGGCTGTTGCAAGACCAAGATTAAGACTGGTATGAATAAAATCTTTTTGTGAATACAAATCAAAGTAGTTGCTAATACTTGACAATTTTTGTTACTATATGTAAAGAATTGGTATAACCAATATATTTTTGCATTTAACTTCTAATTTTTCATTCGAGCTTAGTTAGGCCTCCACTGTCTGAAAAATTACAGTAATATCTCTGTTGTAATAAGCTAATAGGTAACTGCAAGGGACCACTAGCGGATTCAGGATTTAATTTTTGGGGGGGAGGCTTCAGCCCGAAAGATTTTTTTTCATATATACAACGATAATTAATTTAAAAAAAAAAGAAGAAAGAAATGAACTACCTATATGAAATGGTGTTTAAGTGATTCTTGAAGTCCTATTAAATGTAATTACACGAACAATAATACTTTAAGAGATAGTTTTTAATATTTTTTTCTATAAAACATGGTTATATTTTACCATTTTTTTTTTGTGGGGGGGGGGGCTTCAGCCCGAAAGCCCCCCATAAATCCGCCTGTGCAAGGGACTCTTATGAGACTCTTGCGCAAGACCAAGACCAAGACTGAGTGCGCAAGACCAAGACTCCTCTTGTTTTTTTATTTTAGGCATTTATGTTTATATATACAGGATATCCCGTAACTAAGGGAAACATTTAATGAGGTGATAGGGCACTTTAAGAGCTACAAAAAAATGTATACATACATAAAAAAAAGATTGCACTTGCTAATAACGATGCACTTAGATATTAAAATAGACTTGACATGCTTTTGTTGCAATATATTGATCTACGTGAGTAATGGTGACAATGTCCTAGATATCACAGCCACTCGATACTCCGGAAAAGGAAGTAGAATTATAATAAGTAATATGTATCTATATCACTTACATATATCCTTTATATCTATATTGTTTTTCTCTTTTATTCACTATGAGGTAAACCCACACAAGGAACGTTTATTTGATTCACCTTCATGATCCGTGCTTAAAGGCATACTACATGAATTACAATTGTTCATGTAATTTTCTTTTCTAGTTTTACATGATATAAATCTTTAGTTCAAAATTATATATATTAACAAAAAAAAAAAAAAAAAAACAGAACCAAGTTAGTCAAACACAAAAAGTAAATTCAACAAAGCCAACAAGAAATTAACTACGCTGCCCATCATTGGTAACTAAGTCGAAGTCGATAGATCTAATATTCATTATTGGTGTTATTATAATTAATGGAATAGGAAATGGAAGAGTATAAATTTGGTTACTTTGAATCATTTATTTCTGGGTTTTAATATAGTTTGGATTCCTGCCAAAGTCCCGTTCGGTTTTATTGAAGGTAACTCTAGCTGAAGAATGTTGGCAAAGAGTGGATACATGTCTATTATTCTCAATTCACCTGCATTGAAGTTCTCTTTGAACTTTGGTCCGTGGGCCATGAAGTATGGACGCATGTTGATGGTTTGAGGATCGTACCCGTGGATGCCGTAAGTGCCATTTCTCGGAGCTGGAAATAACATATTTTTTAAAAGTAAAACAGCCTTAATAATTGCATACTTACTACATGTCATAATGCATAATAATATAAATTCACCACGTTCTCCTTGAAACAGTTTTAGTATAATAAAAATAAAATACATTCAATTTATTATCCAATTTCGAACAAAGTGTGAAAAGTTGGTATAGATGAAACAATACCTCCTTTATTGTTTATTTGCCAATCTATGGCACCGTAGTAATCTTGAAAAGCGTACGTTGGCTCAGCTACAGCGATTATTGGTGCTGTCCGTTGGCAATCCTTGATGTGGAAGTGCTCAGGGATACTTTCTTTTAGGTAGACTTTGAAGTGCTTGTTTCTTGCAGCTGCTTCGTTAAGTTTAGAGTATATGTCAACTATGCTTTGGCCTGAAATAGATCACTCAACTTAATTTTAATATTAATTATAGATTTCATTCGTACATTCCACAAAAGCGTAAAATAAACACCTATTATATTTAAACCAAAATAATTACCTTTATTGGGATAAATGTGTAACACCGGGGAAGTACCGTACATGGCTGCTTTATCACCGACAAACTTTGTTAGATCGATCATGCGATCAAGGGTGACACCTTCCATCCCATGATCGCTAAGTAGCACGACATTCACATCTGTTAACGAGTTATTTTTTAAGCTCTTGAAAAGATGCTCTGTGATCTTGTCAACTCTTCTTAGGCGCTCACGGGTTTGCGAAGAACCAGGACCGCTGGTATGCTCCTCATCGTCTGGTTCTTCGATGTACATCATCACCAAGTTAGCTGGTGACTTGGGATGGAGGAACCAGGACATAACAGTGGAGATGCGGTTTTCCCAAGCAGTACCGCGATCGAATACGTTGATAAATGTGGGGACGATATTTGAGTAAGGAAACTGGGATCCGGGCCACATCATAACACCGCTATGGCGCCCTTGGCCAGCTTTTTGATTCAATGTCTGAAATAAAATTTTAAAAAATAATAACAATTTTTAATCTATTAATGTGTGTAAAATAAAACAAAAAAACTTTAATAAATGTTGATGTTAGTGAAAAATTTCAAAGTTCAAATATCAATAAATAACAAACCAATCAATTCGTCAATACAAGCATCACCAATACAGAAAAAGTCAAGTTCACATAAATGCAGATATCTCATAAAAAATACTAAAAAAATGATAAAGTACCAGGCCCGATCTGGTTCAGCTTGAACCCCTCGGCTAGATTCTAAAGTTGTTTCCACCGGAAATATTTAATCTATTTTAAAATTGCGGAAATATATGAATACGAAACAATTATTTTGGAGCGAAACATACCACGGTACTATATAAATAAAAAACAATGATCGAGAATCCCCAATCATTCTACGGCGATAAAAAAGAATAAACAATTTATATTATGAGCCTATCAAAGGGGCTTAACAATTTACGGAAATAAACTAATAAAAAACAATTATTTTTGGGATGCTAGAAAAATATAAAACAATAATTTCCGAAGTTCCCTCCACGGGTCCGACTAGCCGACCGGGCCCGTAATGCACATCACTTTAAGAAAAGGATGATTCCTTTCAGAAATAAATTTTAAACATAAAATATAGTAGCTTTGGTTAAGAGAAAGGCTCTTGAGAAATGGCTGGGTCTGGTCTAAGTCTAAGTTGAAAGTGATTGAGCCCTCTGTAGTTCCAAGTCGAGCGGACCTCCAGTTGAACAGAAGAAAAGAAATCATCCTGACAAGGTTACGAATTTACGGGCACTCACGGCTAACTCATGAGCGTCTAATGACAAAAGGGATACCCCCTCCGTGTCTCTGCTGGTGGGTCAATTTAACAGTCAGGCACATCTTGACTGAGTGTTATGCTTATGAAGCACAACGGAATGACGTGGAATTGGAGAATGATATTACTGAAATTTTGAAAAACAATGCACCGGGACGCGAACTCGCAATTATTTTATCGTTTATAACTTCGGTTATCTGGTTGCCGCGCAGACAACGCGCGGTGCTGTGTACACACGCGTTGGCCCGCTCGGCCTTAACTGTTAACTGATACAAGTCATTACTTTTTTATAACAAGAATGATCGAGATTAGGTATTAATCTATAAATGATGGGGAAAAAATAGCATATTTTTGCATCTGAAATACTGATGGAAAACGAATAACGATAATTTACTCGTTAAAATTGTGAAAAAAAAAGAAAGTAATGAAAGTAAAAAACAACCATAAGTAATTTCTTTTAAAATGTAGCCAATGCCAAAATATATATATATATATATATATATATATATATATATATATATATATATATATCAGTCTCTCACCATTACACTGAGTTAGAGTGGCTCTTCCCCTCCATTCGAAGACAATATTTCCTAGGTACATTCCTCTATCATATCATCAACAATCATCGTCCTTCCTACGCCTACAACCTTCTCCAATTCAAGTCCTCAGTCCACTCCCTCTCCACAAGATCTCGACCTTCCGACCTTTACATTCCTTCTCACAGATCTGCCTCGTTCCAAAACTCCTTTATTGCACGTTCTGTTAGTTTCTGGAATTCCCTTCCAATCAAAATTCGACATTCTTCATCCTTATCTACATTCAAAACCCTCCTATTCCAATTCCTGTCCCAAAAACAGTCAGGCACCAGCTAATCTTTTATGTAAAATTACACATTATATATAAGACCATATTCACATATAGCTCATGACCTGAATACTTATTATAGATTCGACTTTCTTTTTCTCTTTTTTTTTTTTTTTTTTTCTGTTTCAACAGAAACAGATTTTACTGTTAAGAAGAATATACATTTATTTTTTCTGTATTTTTTATTTTTTCTAAAAGGGTTTATTTATATTTTAACATCGTACATAGTTTTAAATATCTTAGTATGGTTTCAAGAGTTTTTTATATAGATTTTTATATTTTATTTTGTATATAGTATGTATAACCAATATTTTTTTCTTTTCTTTTCTTTAATGACTTATCATTATCTTAATTTGTTATGTTTGTTTTTATCTGGCCAGATGTAAAATTTTAATTTCTGTACTTTTTTGTTATTCTGAAGGGACTTCGTCCCAGAATAAAATTATTTTTCTATTCTATTCTATTCTATTCTATATATGGTGGAACAGTTGATTATGAATTAGTAACTGTGATATTTCCATTAAATGTAAAATAGACTGAGAGTTCAATGGGAGCGGGAGTTCTAACGCAAAACATACGTTGTCCGGCGACTAAACACACAATAAACCGAAAAAAAAGTTTAGAAGATAGAAAAATAATTACGAGGTCGCGTCCCCATGCCGGGGGAGCTTTTAATTCTGGTATTAATCCTCTTGTCCGGGAAAATCCTCTTATAGGCTAAAAGGCAAGAAAGGAGCGTTAAAAAAATTTAAAAAAATTGAGACTTCAAAAAGGTACAGTTTATTATGGCCGACTTTCAAATGACTTATTTAAACTGAAGTAACAGACGTGACTGAAAACAAATTTCAAGAGGCTGAATATTCTCTACCATGCACATTCCTTCAATTTACTACGCTCTTATTATACCCTTATACTGAAGAAAGAAGTAAATATTGCTTATGAAGCTGAATTAGTTAATAAAAAAATTCTAATGAATTTCAATTTTGTCTTTTTAACGCTAAGATCGGAAGACCCTTCTGGGATAGCGTCTATTGCGTGGGCATCCTTAATCAATTAATTGATTAAGAGGGAAAACCCAGCAGTTGAACTTAATCTCCACGCAATTATCTCCCTGCACAAGCTTTGGTCTTGAAACAGTGCTTCTTAACAAAATATTGGACCTAATATCCTTTATGGGTTTTAGTGATTTTAATTTTAATGCTAACGCTAATAGTGGAAAATAAAAAGATTTTAATTAAAATAAAGTGGTTTTAATTTCTGAAATAATTTTTTTTTTTTTAAATCACCTTGAATCCATCCTGTTTATTGGTATTTTAAAAATGTATACATATTGTTATAAAAGTCCACAAATAAAAAATAATGTATATGAAGGAGGTTTTTTAAAATTTAGATGCATGTTTTTTGGTTACAAGTTATATTTTTATTATTACTCACCCATATAGGAGTTATGTCATTGTTGTAATGGAATAATTCATGACCATATCTCATCAGTTTTCCGGTTTTTGAGTTGAAGACAGTGTTGCCAATGACACCATGGGTTTCTGAATACAGTCCAGTCGCAATGGAGAAATGGTTGACAAAAGTTTGAGTCGGGAAAACGTTAATTACATGTTTGGCAAAGGAAGAACTGCTTTTAAGAGAGTACATATATGGCGTGAGCTCCCGGTCCAGGTAATCATAGCGGAATCCATCGTAAGATACGACAAGAAGTTTATCGAAAGGCGATTTCGAACTAGATCGTGATATTAAGAATAATACTATGAAGATAGATTTCATTGAAATGGTTATCTGGCTTATGAAACTACTTGATGTAATGAATATATGGTTGGATTGGTGAGACGTTCACTTGCTAGGCGGACAGCTTAGTGACTGTAGTAGGGCACAGCTTCTGATCCAACACACTTCAATAAATTTTTTAATGAGCTTATGTCCTTCAGTGGCTATTAATGTTGATTTAGTAATGCTATGACTTAAGTAGAGAGACATTCGGTTCCAAGAATTTTAATATGTTTTATTGTTCAGTACTTTGAGCTCTCTTCTATAACTTATTATTATTGGTATATAATTAAATTAAAATAAATTTACGTAAATTTTTATTGTAAATCTTTCAAGAGTTGTATTGAAAGTTACTAAAGTTACCTAAGTTAACATTTGTAGATTAAATCGTATATAATTTAATATTGATTGATCATTTAAGGATACCCACCTTATAAAGACTGAATGTGCCCTAAGAGATATCTCAACCTCATGGTCAATACAAATGTAACAGTAATTATCTGCCCCCTTCAAAAATCAAGTCCTGGATCCGTTAGTGATACACACTGTACATAGTTTGATATAATATAAGTAGGAACAAAACATAAACGAATTGTGACTATCAATCACCAATTAACCTTTTACTTGGTAGAGTTAGATTTAATTACATTGTCATACAGTGCACTTCGAATCTACAGAGAACCCGCACCTAGACATGCTGACGTCATGCTAATATAATGCTTTCTTAAATACTATGTAATAGACGTAAATTTAGATGTACCATATAAAACAGAAGCAACTTCGTAATTTTCCTATCTTGATTCAATATTTTAAATTGAGAAATATATTAAACATTTATAGTCGCATTTTTCCAAAAATAAAATACTTTTGCAGTTTGTCGAAGTCATATGAGACAGGGAGCTGGGAAGTGTATTTTATGTCCATTTGAAAACCCCAATAACACATTTATGAGGGTTTCGGAAATGTCTGATTTTTATGAATGTATATTACCACTATATACTCGCTATATTTCAGCTATTCCAGACTGATCATAGCAGACTGGAATTCGACTATCCTATATTGATGGAGGCAAATTTCAGCAAAATTTCGATATGTGCATCTGATGGTTTTTAAATTGTTGTGCACTAATGCAGGCACTCGTATCGGTGCACTGAAAATTTGTATGCACAAGTTCCTAAACCCAGCGTTTTGCCCAGTTTAAGGACAGACACGATGCCATCAACGAACTCAGCGCTAAGTTCAAGAAATGTCCTTATTTGAATTAGGTTGGTGTACGAGGTTGGTGAAATTCATGCATATTTTTATATTCCAGCTTAATTAGTTTTGTTGTGACTGAAGAAAAGTATTTGTCTCGTTAAATCCGAACAAAGTTGCAAAAAGTTGAATTATTCCTATGGATTTTTTGTTCCATCTATTTTACAAGTGAAAACATACCTATTAAGTATATATCACTACTCTTAGTGCAAAAGGTCGTATGTTAAAGTTTTCAATTTTTATTCTGTTTTTGACATTATGTAGTCTGCAGCTGATATAAGTAGTCTAACTATGGAAAATAGCAGAGGGTAATAACATATAAAATTATATTAATAAATCATTAAGAAATAATTATTTTTTATGCTCTCCTGTAAAATACTCAATTATTACGTACGACCTTTTGCACTAACAGTAGCAATATGGATGCACTGGAATTTTTTTTTTTTTTAATTAAGAATCATCAAATATGCAATTTGCAAATGCAGAATTCTTTCGCATTTATTATTTGCTGATAAACAAAACTCATGGATATCAAACCAGTTTATGTTGAGGGATTACTGAATATCCGAAAACGGCTTCTTCCAGAGATTTTATTCTCATACAAGCAATTTTACACCTTGTAATATGAAATGAAATGAAATAAAAATAGCCTTTATTTATGCACTAATATTACAATTTCAAAAGCTAACAAAACAAAATAAAACAATTTCTTTTTTTTTCTTTTTTTTTTACATTAAGTATTATAATTTATACAAAACTTTGTCATAAAACTTTAACTTTAATACAAAACTTTGTTATCTTGCATAGGCCTTCCCTTAGGCTTAATAGTCTTTAACACTTCCCTGGGTGACTAGCCCTACTAGGAAGCGGGATTTCTGACCTTTAACCATTTTTCTTTCCACACATCTCTGTCCTTAGCTGCTCTCCACCAGAGAGGTCCTGCCAAAAGCCTAAATAGATCTCTCTATCGCTTAATTTGTCGGCCTCTCATCCTTTTCCGGTAATATGGAGTCCATTCGGTGACTATTTTTGACCATCTATTGTCGTTGCATCGCAGGAGGTGTCCAGCCCATTTCCATTTGCCTTTTCTTATTTGTGAGAGTGTGTCTTTGAGCCATGTTTCTTCTTTTATCTTCTTGCATCTGATTTTATCTATCTTCTTTATTTTCATAATGCTTCTTTCGATGCTATTTTGCCACACCATGATCTTCCTCTCTTGGGCTTTTGTCAGTGACCATGTTTGGGAGCCATAGGTCACCATTGGTATAATATATTTATCGAAAACTAGCCTTTTTAGGTCGATATTTATGTTTCCTTTTGTTATGTACTTCAGAGACCAGAACTTGTTCCAACCAAATGCTATTCTTCTTTGGTCTTCTTTTGTAACTCTGTCTGAAAAGGAAACTAACTGTCCCAAGTAAACATATTCTTCTACATATTCCAGGGTGAAGTTGTTCATTTTTATTTCTTCCTTTGAACTATCCTTGTAATATAGATAGCGTCAATTGTAATATAGGAGCGCCAACTGAAGTGGTTTGGTCATGTGTACCTGATGGGTGATAGCCGAAAGGCAAAATAGTATCTAGAAGCAAAACCAGAGGGAAGACGACCTAGAGGCAGGCCCAGGCTGTTGTATTGTGACTACTTGGAGAACCTCGGGCGAGCCAGAGGTAGCACCATGGTGGATATGAGAAGGAGGGGATGTGACAGGGATCAGTGGACGAGATGGGTCAAGGCTGTTCCTCCACGTTGATGGCACTAACGTGGCAAAAGAAGAAGTAATATAGACATTTTTTAGCTAATTAATACGGTGAGGAAGCTATACTGATCTTACTTGGCAGACATTATTTAACTAGTCAGGAAGTTTTTGTTTATTATTTTAATATTTATATTACATTTTATAAAAATAAATCAAAGCTTTAATAAATCTCTAACTTTCTAAAATCTATAATTCTAAAACTTTTTTTATTTCAAATTTATATTTACATACACTTCATTTCTATTAATTATATATAAAACCAAATAAAGAAAATAATTTTATTATGTAAAAAAAGTTTTTCGAAGGAAGGTCTTAACTTTAACTCAGGCACTGACAAAAGTCAATCAAAAATTGTAAAAGCAAATCTTCCAAAATTATATTAAATAGAAAACAGTTCTGACTAAATTTCATGCTGAAATCTATAAAATTTGTTTTAATTTTATAAGTAATAAATAATAATAAACTTTATGAAAATTTTGTATTACTTTTATTGAAATGCACTAAGTTAAAATTAAGTTACATTAGTAAAAATTCTTTTTTTTTTTTTGTTTTATTTATTTATTTTAATGGTAGCCTTTATTGTGTTCTTTATTGTTCTATTATAATTTTTTCTACTTATCTCAACAATTAAATAAAGGTTGCTGATAAACTGTTAGCCACTTTTTAACAAAGCATATAAAAAAATATTTTTCATATATTTTGTAAAAAAATGTAGCGTACTTATTACACACATTGTGTTGGGGTGAAAAAAAAAATTAAATCAGAGAAGAAAACTTCTCACATTTTCTTCAATCAAAATTCTCGGAGCCTTTATTCATAAACAAGTTCAGAGTTAATATTTATGCCGAAAAATATCTTTTACTCCTGAGAATGAACCATTAGGTCTGAAACGTGGTAATTTAAGATTGAGAACATGAGCAAACATAGGGTACATGTCTACAGTTCTCAATACTCCTGCAGCATAATTTTTCCTAAACAGTGGACCATGAGCAATAAAATATGGATGCATACTAATCGTACGAGGATCATATCCATGAATGCCATAAACACCTGTGGGCGATTCTGAAAAATAATTAAAATTTCTAATGCATAAGTATAATAAGACTTATTAATAATATAATCTGATCTTAAAATTACTTAATGATCAAGTACAATTTATTGATAATTTAATAGCATTCAAGAAACAGTCACTTAGCCAGTTAATGAATTTTTTGTGTCAATGATTTTTCCCTGAACCAAAAAACACAAACTTAATGAATTTATCAATCAAATTACAGACACATAACGAATTTAATGATTCTGTCATGTTTGTCAGGTTGAAAATTCATGGTTATCTAGATAAATTAAAAATTTAATTATGAAAATGAATTTTTCATTATTTTGGACTTGTTAACTTTTTCTTAAATGCCATTGATATATAAATAGAATATATTTATTTTATTAACTAAAAAAAGAACAAGCATTTTACAACATTATACAATCATTTTTTTACATTATTTCTTTTTTTCGATTTATGTTGTTTTGGCCAGATGTAATATTTTAATTTTGTTCTAATTTGTTATTCTCAAGGGACTGTGTCCCAGAATAAAGTTATTTTTCTATTCTATCTATCAAAATTTAATTAAAAAGTGGGTTTTTAATTAAAATGCATAAAAATAAATCAAACTTTGTTCATTAAAAATAATAATTATTGTAAGAAATAACATGACCTGTAAATAAATATGAACTATTATCTCTATTTAAGTGTTTCTATTTATTGATATGAAATAATATGTTGTTTTCCTGTTATCTAGCAGCGTCACTATATTTATTAATATAATATATTCTAGTTAATGGACATAATTTAATCATCAAGTAAAGATAAGGAAATTGAATTGATGATTAAATATATAAAAATAAATATTAATAGAAATATAAAAAATTTAATAAAGGAAAGTATTATAATCACCTCCTCGGTTATCAATTTGCCATTGGATAGATTTATAGTAATCCTGAAAGCCATAAGGAGGATCAGCCACTGCAATTATTGGTGCAGTTCTTCTACAGTTCTTAATATGGAAATGCTTTGGTATATTTCTTTTCAAATAAACCTTAAAATGCTTATTTTTCTTGGCAGCAGAATGCAATAGTTTATATATCCTTCTGACACTTTCTCCTGAAGTAATAAATAAAGAAAATTTTCATTAGAGGTATTTGATACACTGTACATAATGTTTCACAAATTGGAAAACATGATGAAGAACACATGCAATCTTAAAGGTTAAATCTAGTTTCTGCAAACTTAATATCATGGAAGATTTTACTCAGAATAGTATTATAAAAGTAATTTTTTAATCCTACTTTATTACCATGCTAGAAATCATTTGTTAAAGGACACCAATTTCAACTTTCCCAAGATAATAACTATCTAATCTTTTTTTATGATCCTGAATCCTACAACACCCTACATAGTTTGACAGTCAGTTGAAAATTTATTGGGTTAGAAACATGAGTCAATTTTTAATCAGAATTTTAAACATGAATAAAAATTTATCCAAAATTTTATTTGAATAAATATTTCATCAAATGAAAACTCATAGTCGGAACTAGGAAAAACAGCAAAGCACCCACTAAATTCTGCAGCAATCCAGAGCTGCAGAATTTAGAGAGAAACAAATTTCAAACAAAACTCTATTTTGCAGTTAAATAAAAAGAAATTATGCATTTTGGTCTTAATTTAGTCAATAAATAAAATAAATTGATGATATGTGGTGATGATATTTAAGTCGAAGCATATTACCTGAAATACTGCCATAAAACTTAACTTTTGTTTGAGTTGAGAGGGGAAATGAGAGAGGAGATTGTGAATGAAGACACAGGAAAATTTAGCTTGCACTGCTTATAAAGTCCCAATTCAGTTACTGAGCGAACTGATAAAAAGTTGCTTACTTTTGTTTAACAACTTGGTTAATGGTCTGTCCAATCATAATAATTCATAGAGGATGATTATTACAAGCAGCTATTGATTCAATTTAATTTTAACTCATATCATCAAACATATTCAGGATTTAATTTTTTTTTTCTCAAAGAGAAAGTAATGATGATTTAGTATGATTGAAACATTAGTGGGCAATCATGAATGGAATAATTTTCGTCCAACTGGGATTCATATTTAGTAGTTGTGTGGAAGATTTTTCATGAGACAATTCAACGAAAATTGGGACATTTCCAGTTTATAGGATCCTAAATACATGCACCTAATACCTAAATAAATGCACAGCTGAAGATGCACCATCACTTAAGAGGGAGGCCACGTTTTTACAGAGTCATGGGATTTAGGAGGAGGACCACCAAACATCAAGTTGTGAATTTTTGGAGGAAATCATATTTTTGTGAGATTTTAATTCAAGAGATCTTTCAAAACAAGCAGCTGAGGAAAAAACAAAACTAAAATTTTACTTTAATTTGCACCATTTTTAATAAGAAGGAGCAATAAAATTTCTTGAGAAGGAGGCATGTGATATTGCAACATGGGACTGATGGTAACCCCTTGTGCTAATACATTTTTTGTAAATTTTGAAATAAAACAATACAAAAATCGTAGCCTATGGAGTAAACAGTATTATTTTTTTTTTCTATGAAAATTCGCATTTAAGGCTTTTTTTTGAGGGACAGGGAGAGCGGATAGAATCTGGAGAACATATTATTTGTTTCTCGCCATTAGAAAAAAAAATTATAGTGGAATCTCTACATATTCTAAAGGAAATATAATATAATGTTAATTGCACTATTAATATATTAATGCCCGGTTACTTCTCCATAAGGCCGGCACTTTAATAAATCACAAATGAGCTAATCATTCACAAATTTGTAATATATTTACCTGGTTTAGGATATATCTGTAAAACTGGCGATGCTCCATACATGTCAGTTTTGTTTCCAACAAACTTAGTAAGGTCAATAATTTGTTTTAAAGTGATACCTTCCATCCCGTGGTCACTTAAGAACACGACATTAACATCTTGAAGGTCGTTTTTCTTCAAGTAATCCATAATATATTTTGTGATATTATCAGTTTTTTTTATCTGTTCCCGAGTTCTCTCTGATACGGTTGCCGGGCCTGAATTGTGGCTTTGGTTGTCAGGCTCATCGAAATATAACATAACCAGATTCGCTGGAGTTTCCGGGTGAACAAACCATGACAAAGCTGTTTCTGCACTTTCATTCCATGACATGTTTTCGTCGTATGATTTTGAAAAGGTGACATTCACTCCACCATATTCATATTCACCCCCTGCCCACATCATTACGCCGCTGTGGCGTCCTTTGCCAGCCCGTTCATTCAGTGTCTAGAAAAAAAAAAAGAAAAATGAAATGGACATATAATGAAAAAATATTTATTCTGTGACAAAGTTTACTAAGAATAATTATAGTGTTCTGATTATAGATATATTGTCTGGCTTAATAATAACTTAAGAAATGTCTTATGGTAATTTTTATAGTAAATAGTATTGCTTACATTAGTGCGGTAGTTTGATTATAAAATGGGAGAAAGAATAAATTGTGTCTAAAGGAATGATAGCACGAGGTTTGATGAATAGAGGTGGGTAAGGCATACCAGAAGGAGGAAGCACTTATGAAGAATGATTAGCTGAAAGGACTGATTTTATTAGGGGGAATATATTAATCAATACGTTAAGATCTTGTGATAAGAGAGTGAATCGCGGAACTTAGAGTGAATTATAGGATGTAGGAGGGTTGTTTTTCGGGGGTTATGAGAATATGTTAGAGAAACACATCTAGGAGTTATTTCTGCTAGAAAGCAGCATAAAGCCACTTGAACTCGGTAAAACAACAGGATGAATCTTATGAAGCAATTCATAAGTCTCTTAAGTTGCATTCGTAGCCCTGCGTAGTCGGAGTGAGAGAAAACAGGAGAGGATACTAGGAGCTGCCGAATATTTTGAGAAATGGAGTCACAGAATCTTATGAATTGTTGGAGGACAGTGGATTTCCGGATGATTTGGGAAATATGGTCATTCTAAGCGAGATGCTGATCAAAGGTAACTCCGAAGTTTTTAAAATTCGAATGAAAATGAATGGGTCGATTATTGAGGTAAAGTAGATGATAATAAAATATGAAATAATGAATTAAGGTTCCTGGAACCAATGCCAATGGCCTTAGTTATTCAGCATTAAATCACAGCTCGTTCTTTACTGCACATCCATACATACTTTCATTATCCTTCTGCAGTATGTTTTATTGTATCAAACATCTCTGTAGGATATAAGGGTTTTATATATATATATATATATATATATATATATATATATATATATATATATATATATATATATAATAATGAATGATATTGCTGATTGAGCCACAAGTTGGAAAATTAAAATGAATGAAAAAAAAAATCTGTATGTAGTATTTTCTCTTAATCATACCCCTTCCCCCGAAATATATTTTAATATAATTGAAATTTCTACATCCGATGTAATTAAATATTTGGGTTTTTACCTCGACAAAAGCCTAACTTGGAGGTCACACATTAGACAAAAACGTATGAAATTCAACAGACGATACGGTCTTTTATCTAGGTTACCTGACAGACGTTCAAAATTATCTTGGACTAACAAACTAACACTCTATAAAGTTTTACTAAAACCAATTTGGACTTATGGCATAGAACTGTGGGGTTCTGTTAAAACTTCTAATATTAAAAAATCCAGTCTTTCCAATCCAAAATTTTACGAAGAATAATTGACGCACCATATTATGTCGCAAACGATAGATTACACAAAGACTTGAACATCCCAACAATTTTAGACACTGCAAAAGGAAACTACAATAACTTTCACCAAAGACTAACTTACAACACAAATCCTCTCACAGAAAGCCTTAAAAGCACTAGAAACCCGTACAGCCCACCTCGACGATTACGTAGGCAGTGGCCAAGAGACCTGCTGAACTGTACTATTTCCTGGATTGTGATGGGACGCTATGAAGCTGCCAAAAAATTTGCTCATTGCAAAGAAATTTGCAGATCGCAAATTTAATTTTTATGTCCAATTTTATATATATTTAAAGGAATATATAAATCTTACCAACGATTTATTTAATTATGTAAATGACCTTCGAATGTTATCGCAGAGAAACAAAAAGATATAAAATTAATAAAAAAAATAAAAAATAATAATCTAGATATAACTCTCCCTATAAAAAGGTTAATGATTGGCGTGTAAATACTGTGGCTTCACCAATAATAGTTTACTTCCTTGGTGTGGTCAGGCCCACCGTGAAAGGGAAAACAGGTAAGACCAAATCTTCTGGGTCTGAACAGTTGACTAAAATTGTATGCATTTAAAATAAATGTTGATCAAATTTATGCAAAAGAATTAATATAATTATTAATAAAAGTTCGTCGTTCTTTGACAAAGTAGTGTAATGTAATAACCTAAGTGTTACTATGTTTATAGTTTAAGGAAAAATCAACAGTTGTTTATTGAGATTAGTTTATAAAGAACATTGACTTTTGTGTCGATTACTCCAGGTAAGAAAACTGTGAATAACTGTTGTTATAGACATAGTTCAAGCTCTATTGTATCAAGGCTTTACTTAGATAATTATCGTTAAAATATACTACCACCTTTAATTATTAATTGTTTATATTATAATTTAACAAAAAGTTCTGTTTCAATAGCAATCCATATATTAATATTATTTAAAAAAGAGAACCTATGAAATAATGAGAAAGATTCCTCTGAGTTATCTTGTCACATGTCTAGGTTCAGCTGATGAGTGTGGTCAGTATTCGCTCTCAATTGCCATGGCTATCTCTCATGACAATTTACAATAAACATTTTTTAAAGGCTGAGTGTGCCCTAAGATAGTGATCCATCTCCAGAGCCGATCCAAGGTAGATAAAATATAATAAATTAACAAATAACTCGAACCCGGTCCAGAAAATTAAGAGCTACCCATTAAGCTATCCCGCTCCCAAATCATTTATTAATCTTAAATAATTCTTTGGTCTAACTCTAAGATAGCTATAACCCTTAAAATGTCCTTAAACAATGATGAAAATATTTCTAGAAGTTTTTTCCAGTTCCGCTAGTCCTCTTTAAACATTAGCGTCGAATGTTTGCACAGATGATTTTCGTTTGATTAGTATGAAATAAAGAACCAAGTATCACGTTGAAAGATATCTGTTTATTAGAAGTAAATAGTATTTGATGTGGAATTATAATTCAATTGCGTGGAACTTGATTTGAATAAGTTTGAATAGAGTGCTCATCAGCTCTGTTTTGCGAAATTTCATGTTGTTTGAGTATGGAGATTAATTGTAATAATTATTTCTCAACGTAGCTATCACAGATGAAAAACCTAATTAGTTATATTTACCGATATGTTTACAATGACTCATAACTACACAAATACTTCCTTGCCACTATATCTGTTAAAATAAACATTGGGACCCCAATCGTAATTGGCAATACATGTAGTTTCAAAATGTTTGAACATCTTTGTTGTAAATTTTCTGTAAATGAACCATTAACAAATATTATTGAATTGGGAAAAGTTCTTTTTTCGCTTGTTTTTCGATTTTGGGATTTAATGTATCCTCATACCAGACTGAAGCGACAAGAAATCGCTCGACGTTTCCGACTACTTCAGCACTCACTAGACAAACGCTCTAACCTTTCAATTAATTACAAAAGACTCATATACATGAGCATAATAAGACCCATTTGGACTTGCGGAGTGGAGCTTTGGGATTCCACTAAACCATCGAATTCCTCTCGTATCCAATCTTAACAATCAAAAATCCTTCGTAAAATCCTTAATGCTCCTTACTTTGTAACAAATATAATAATTCATAATGACCTGAATGTTTCCGATTTGGCCCAATCCAGATACCTATACTTCCATTATAAACTTCAGAACCATCCTAATCCTCTCGTTTCTAACCTTGCTTTCTCCTCGATCCCTGATAACCCTCCTAGGCCTCTGAAAATCTTCTAATTTAGAAACTTTATTAGAGCGCTACCAATGGGTAGATTCTCTACAAGCCTTGTCATGTCATGTATTTATCTATATCACATTTGCTGAATGTATATTAAATGTACAGTTGTAAATTTCAATAATAATAAAAAAAGGGTTTTAATGTCATAGCGTATTATAATCAAATAGTGGGTGGACAGTCCTGCAGGTTACGAACCTTTCTTATCCAGGATGTAGTGGTTAAAGATTTTTTACAAAGTAAAAGTCAATCTACAGAGATGAAATCGAACCAGCATTCCGTTGCACAAAATGCATCGAGTATATGGTATCTTGTATTGTATATAGTATTTTATCAGATGTTATTAGTTTATCATTTGTCACCCCCTGGGTAATGGCATCATCTCTCCCAAAAAAAAAAAATGATTTAGCTTCTCTCATTTAACAAAGTAAAAAAGGTTTTGCATTTGGTTCTGAAATTTTCTTACAAGAAGATAAACTGAAAGATCCATCCAAGAGAGAAGGCTCAGCTAGATCATCTCCAAGGTTGATAGCTCTCACTTCCTCTCATTTCAAAGAACAGTTATTGTTCTCCTTTTATAAATTAAAATGTCTTACTGGGTCAACCGAGAAATATCATGGTTAAAATCGAAGAGAACTCCAGCTTGAGGATACAACAGAAGAGTGGTTGTTAACAACCTCGAAAGGATCTATTTTGAGGAAGTACTAGGAAGTTCGAAATTTCTCGCGGATCATAAGAATTTCGATTCTAGCTCCATGGCTATAGGACGGACTTCAACCCTTAATACCCTTGCTCGGATATCTCAGAAATTACACATGAGCACATCCTTGTGTTTGAGGCATTAAGGGCAGAATTTCTGAGGGAAACTAGACTTAACGTCCTCACAGAGAACGATTTCTCCCAGCTAGTCACCGAATAAAACTACCCATACTGCAGAGATTTTTGTAAGAGTGAAACTCGCCTACTTTTGACGATGAAGACCCGTCCCTGGAAGACCATCAGATTGAACAGAAACAATTAGAGGCAAGATCCGTAAATGAAAATGTCCAAGTCCCCAGAATAGAAAAATATATAAGTATTCTTTTTTAACGGTCCATATTGATAACAGCTAAAACACTTAAAAATCACAATATGTTCTATTTTTTAAATTATACTGTATATACAGCTACAAAATATAACCATGTCTTAGGAAAAAAACTAGCTATAAAAGTATTATTATTCGTGTAATTATTTTTTTTTTTTTTTGGGCTTCTAGAATCATTTAAACATCATTACATGTGTTTAGTTAGTTTCTTTCTTTTTCTTCAAAAGTAATTATCGTTATAAATTAAGTTAATTTTTAAAAAAAGCTTTCGGGCTGAAGCCTTCAAAATTAAATTCTGGACCCGCTATTGGTGCCCATTACGTTCTAAAAATTGTAAATTACTTTACTATTAGCAGTGTGATGTTACGCAGACGTCCGTAATATCCGTATTGTTTCGAAGACAGGACAGCATATAAATAAGTACATACTTGAAATTCATAATTCAAATAAAATAAATAAGTCCAAATTAATTATTTTTTTAATGATAGCAAAAATGGTAAACTACTATTAAGATGATAAAAATTTAAACAAATTATTTAACAAACATTATTATAAATATATGTACACATTTGGCATTAGTTTCAATATTTTTTTAATTCATTAAAAAATTAATACTATTTTTGAAACTACATTTTTCTTGTATTGATGTTTGGATTTTGATAATTGATTGATTTTAAATTTGGATTGCATTGATGTTTAAATTTCTTTTGGCATCTAAGAACCGAAAGGTACCGCTTAGTGAATCAAACGATAAACGAAACGCCAAAAATCAGCTATTTTTTATTCCATTTTGATGATTCAGACTTTTTTTGATATCGGTCAAAGGTTTTGTAAACATGTATCAATATAAGCTTTTGGAGATTAAATGATAGATAGAATCAGTATTTAGACATACGGCGCCCCCGGACAATGACATCAGCTCCCCCCTCCTAAACAAATTTAATTTTTTTCTTAAGCTGTTTTAAATTATGCAGTGTTTGAATTATATTTCATTCAATATTTCTATGATACAGCTGCTTTATTGATAGGCTAAAATTAATTATTTTATATATATTTTTTTTTATATAAGTGGCGAGAGCCCCTGATGATCGGCGTCCCGGGATAGTTGCCCCACTCTAAGGCCGACACTGGGTTGAATCAATGCCATTTCAGTATAATAATTTAATATCCAAACACAATTTTAATGGAATATTGCATTGTTTGGAACGAACAATCAAAAACGATATTAATACAAAATGACAGATGCATTGTTTATTATTCGGTCCACGTTTCTTGTACGCCATAACAGCTTATGAATAAAGTCAGTGTAGCAAACAACCTCCCTTATTATGTTATTGATATTTAACAAGGCTGTGTTTGAATGATGAGTTCGTTACACAAGTTGAATGTTAGTTTCTGTTTCGTTTTCTTTTTCTCTCAGCTATATAATTTATTATTATTGCCACACATGATAAATGTCCCAATTTAAACCACCATTCACAAATCAGCTTCCAAATTCACATCTGTTTCAGAGATATGTAGCAGACTAGACATAATGGTCCTTAAATTAATATGTTTTTGAATTAAATGATATCTCTGGGAATGTAAAATAGTGAGCCATTATATATATATATATATATATATAACACAATATATATATATATAAACCTGGTAATAAAATTGAATGTCGTCGCAACTAAGTAAACGAAAGTATTTTAACAGTAGTCATGAACCATTACCCTATTCCAAAGAATAAAATGTATTTTATTATTATAATATAACTGTAATATAAACTAAGTGAGGAACGCTTTAGATAATGTAATGTTATTACATTTTCCCTTATTATGGATTATTTATTATATGGTTTTGTTCTAGGTATAAAAGGATAATTTTAACGTTAAAATATCGCGCTGGCCAACCTGATAAACCCACCTCTTTACATTATGATATAAAGTTTCCTGTACTAAATATTAAAAAAAAAATCACTATAATATAATCTTTAAAATATCTCGAATATGATAAATATTATAATAATAAGGTATATTATTAATATTCATTAATAAAATCAGTATTATCGTTTTAAAAAAATTAGGTACTCCAAACTAATATTTTTGACAAAGCAAAAATTACAATTTGAATTGTAAATAAAGCTGTCAGTATTGTTTAATAAACATTAGAGGTTTTGCTGATTATATACGATTAATGTAATTTAAAAAATAGAAATGTCAAACAATATTTTGGGGTCTAGATTCGAAATATTTTTAAACTTGAAATATAACTTTTTTTTTCGTAAAGTGTCTTAAATTCCACAAAATATTATACGTTTTAGTAGAAAATTTTCATAGGAAGCTATCATGAAACTGTAATTGTAAGACTAGGATCATTACTTTTGATTTGAATTTTAATATGAATTATGGAAATTGAACTTACCCATATGGGAATGACGTTTTTGTTGTAGTGAAAGAGATCATAGGAGTATCCCACCACCTTTTTCTTCTCCTTGTCGTAAACTGAGTTGCCAATAACACCATGAGCTTCAGAATATAGCCCTGTCGCCAGAGAAAAGTGATTAACATATGTCTGGGTAGGGAAGACGTTTAGGAGGCATTTGGCGTACGTTGAACTCTTTTTGAGCGAGTTGAGGTAGGGTGTAATATTCAGATTGAGATAGTCATACCGGAAGCCATCGTAGGATACGACAAGAAGTTTCTCATGCGGTGATTTAGAAAGTGCCGAACTGACGAAAAAGCCAAGTGCTGCTAGCAATAATTTGTAATACATAATGAATTTTCTTTAAAAATAAATAAAATTAGAAAACAGGAAAGAAATTTTCAGAAGACACAATGTGCATAGCAATGGAGAACCACAGGGGATCTCGTCGACTGAAAACTGGAAGCTGCTGTTTACGGTATTTGTATTAGAGCGGAGTCGGTGAGGTGACGTCAACGTTGAGTACATGGCGTTCAAGGACCGAATCCGAAGAGAGGAGGGCTTTTTAAATGTTACTTACTTCAAATAAATGTGCTATAACTAGATTTATTTAGGTTTATACTGTTGCAATAAGAGGATGGTGCTGTAAAAAAAAAAATAGTATACATATATTAATCATAAATTGATCATGAATCCTTGAGATGAAGTTCCAAGACATTGAACGCCATGCCACGCTCATGATTTTATACTCAAAGCAAGAAAACAAAGTTTCTACTTTGTTCAGTTATAATAATAAAAATCTGGTGCGCGCAACACACAACTTTCACTCACCGCTCAACTTCGAATAGAAATTATTTTCTGGCCATGTTGGGCTAGAATAAAATTTTTGAATTGCATTTTTAACCGTGCTAAAGCTAAAAGCTATCAAATAAGAAATACCATTAAAATAACAACAGTCATATTTTTTTTATCGATCCGTTGATTATGAATTATACGACTATTAGTTATTAATCTATTATTTTCTATTGCAAAGTTTACTAAAATGGAATTAACAGATTTGCATTGTCGGTTATATACAGGTCGAAAGTTGTCACAATAATTGGAAGTGGATACTGTTGGAATATCACTAAGGGAAAATTCATCAAATTATTAACTAATTTAATTTTCTAAAATATTACATGATGATTTTTTCGGAATAAACGAACGATAGATACCTAATTATTTAAATATAATATCAGATCTAGAATTATTAAACTACAGTAAATATATTTAAGGTTATAAACATATCCAGGAAATAAACAGTGTCACAGCCTTGAATACGTGGATTTTAAATAATTTTTCAAAATAAAAAAAAAAACGATTAAAATTTACGTATAGTAAGAAAATTTCATTTAATTTCTCTTAACACTTTGGATAAACTTTCTCCAAAGTAATGTTGTTAAATAAATAAATAAAGATCTGTTAAGAAAGTTATGACGAAGAATAAATTTTCATTGGGCATAACCTGTAAAAGTATTCATTGTATAATAAATTAAAAACGTGATAACTTGAAAGATAGTTAATTAAATTTTCTTTAAAAAGACGGCGAAATTTGTCAAGTATTAGCAAAGACACAGTATTGCACTTGGAGCAAATATTTTTATATCCCTATAACTACTAGCTAAGGAAAGTATTGTAAATTTCCGAAGTATAGTTTTAACGGATTTATGCGTACAGTCACGGGTGGGCCAATAGTTGTCAATACATAGTTGTCTTCTTGTTTTGTTTTGCTGATTGTGAATTGCCCAATAAGAAAATCAGGTAATTTTCTCTAGCTTGTAGGATCAAAATGATTCTAAATGTTTTGAAACAGTCTTATCCTTAAAGCTCTTCACTTTTTCAAGCATAAACATCTCCGGGAAAAAGAAGAAGAAAAATCGGCGAAGAAGCAACAAAAATGTTTATGTATATACGCTTACAAAACGATTAGGAAAATCGTGTGAGTGAAAACAGATTATTTTTTTATAAGACATTTAAAAAAAAAAAAAAAAATAAGACATATAATGGTAAGAGGTCACATGAACATAGCGTGGAAAAAAACATTTATATTTGTTTGTGAATGATGGAGTCAATATTTGCCTGTTTTCAAATTAATTACTTTTCATTATTCGCTTATTTATTCAGTAACTAATCCAATATTGTTTTATTATGACTATTTTATTGCTTCAATGCTGTTACTAATGTAATATTAATTAGGATCGCCAGTGTTCTGATACTTCATCAATAATTAATCAAGTTAGTGGTACTTTTATTTTCACTTACCAATGTATGAATGACTTGTTTATGTAATAAAGAAAGGTATTGGGATTGTGAATCTAAATCTGAGTTTTTAAGTTCACTTTTTAAAGTCGCCAAACCTAAATAACCAAGGCTCACGAAATGGCTTGTGCATACGGCAGAAGAGGAGATCACTTTTCACAACACAAAGACTGAAATTTAAATAACAAAAATATTTAACAAACATTTACATCAGGTTCATACAAAAATTGTAAATGAGGAATATGAAATTTTTGAAACTTTAAAATGTTAAGTTAATTTTCATGTTTATGTCTTCAATAACCTGGCTTAAAAGAGTTAATGAAGTAAACATTTATTTAATTTATTATTTTGAAAGAGTAGGATACATGAAAATAGGAATGGCTATAAATAATAAGAGACAGAAAACCTATTTTGATTTATGTGTATCTAATATTATAAGCTGATTGATAAAATAAGTGAGCTAGAATGACATGAGTCATTTATTGCGTTCGATCTTCTTCTTCTTCTTTTTCTTCTTCAAAAAAAAAGGAGGGGCTTACCATACCTTCCAAAACTCTCCTAGACTCACAAATTTAATTTCAGAGACCAGTCTTAGGTATTGGGACAAATCATAGCAAAATATATGAAAACGTGAAGAAGAAAAAAACCACTAAAATAAAGAAATGCTGCGATCAGTATTGACAAGATCCACTAGCGGATCCAGGAATTAATTTTGGGGGGGGGGCTTCAGCCCGGAAGCTTTTTTTTTCGTATATATAACGATAATTTCTTTGGAAAAACAGAAAGATTCTACCTACATGAAATGGTGTTTAAATGGTTCTTGAAGTCATATTAAATGTAATTAAACGAGCAATAATACTTAAAGACATAATTTTTAAATATTTTTTACCATAAAACATGGTTATATTTTACCATTTTGGGGGGGGGGGGAGAGGGGAGAAGGCTTCAGCCCGAAAGCCCCTCCTCCGTAAATCCGCCTGTGACAAGATCCAAAATCTTTAAAAATATAACAAGGAACTGATGGAAAAATTATTTGGTGGAATAAATATGTAATAGACAGATGAAGAGAGTAGCACTATAACTATGCTATTTGTGAGAACCGAATAAGGAGGCAGAGGACTGTAGGTGTCTACGCCAGTGTCACTTTTCCGTCGATTAAGTGGGTTTTATAAAGAACTGGCTAAAGCCCCCAAAATTTAAAGTATAACTATGTCTTATGAAAAAAATGATCTTTAAAATATTATTGTTCGTGTGAATAAATTTAACAGGACTTCAAGAATCAGTTAAACACCATTCCATATAGGCACTTAATTTCGTTCTTTTTCTCCTTAAATAATTATCATTAAATTTATGAAAAAAAAGCTTTCGGACTGAAGTCCTCCATAATTAAATCCTGGATCCGTTAATGGCAGAAAGTGATTTCTACTTGTAGTTGCGTGGTAAGCCAAAATTGTGAGACTCGAACAGGTTCCTAAATGTTTTTATTTTAATTTTAGGTATATCTATATACATTTTAATAATTAACAAAGTTTTAATCAATATTTTAATCTATATTATCTACATTAATAAATGAAATTGATAATATTTTCAAATTTAAAGTCAACTATAGAAATAAAAATATTCTGTCTTATATTAATATCAAGTTTTAAAAACATTAATTTGACGTTGTAGTTTTAGGTGGGAGATGTATTTTAAAATAAAAACATTCTATTCAATCTCAATCCTAGAAGTTGGTTTGAACATTCTATCGATTAAACTTTCGGCCTCTTTGGGGGTCATGTGAAACCTTAGTTGGCTCTAGAAGTATGTTTGTAAACATTGACAGTAGTAAGTGCGTTGCCGTGTTATTGGTTTTGGTTATTTATTGTGAACATAGTGGCATAGTGTAATGGATTCGGACAAGCCCCTCAGACGAAGCAAAAGAGTAATTAAGAAAAAAGAACCATTATCAAATGAAATCATTGTTGATTCAGTAACTCCAAAACCATGGACAAGAACAGAGAAGGCCCAATTGCTTGCTGCACTAGAAGCTTTCGAAGATACTGACATACAATCTATATCTGAATACATACCTACTAAAACTGTCCAGCAAATAGAATATTATATTCGAAGTGTTAAGAGAAGGGCTTATATGATTTGCAGCAAAGGTCCCAATATTACAGAGCTAGAAAAGTGGAAGAAAATACTTAGTAAAGGCATTAAAGATGTTGATGTGACTGTTTATGATCAATTTACTTTACCCTTATTTTTCATTTCATTATTTGAAAATTTTCCAAGCCCAGCTTATTGTGATGGAATTGATTTTAAAGCTGCTTATGAATTTATTTTTTGTATAATGGCTGAAATACCACCCAGAACACCGAACAGAAAAACTTTGGAGTTTATATCAAAAACATTTAATGAGATAGGCTCTATGGTAACAGATAACAAGGATTTGAAAAATTATGTGATTGAAAAATTAAAGGAAGCTGCATCCAGTGAACAGCCAATAAATCCTTTAAATCCATTGAATTTCCCTGAACTGAGCATACCTATAATACCTTCTAATGACAGTGATGAAGAGTAACTTTTTTTGGTTTTTCTAATGACAATAGAGATAGTTTCAGTTTTTTGTTTTTATATTTTTTAAAGACAAGATTTATGCAAATATGTGTATATATTTAAATAAATAAATTTTAATTTTTTAATAAATATTGTTTATGTATTCTTGCCCCATTCCTCTTCCACTTGTATGTCATTTAATGTGACACATTAAAAATTATTTGTTTTTGTATTAAACAATATAATCAGGCTTTGTTAATTTTCTTTTTTAGTTATTTTTATTGATGTCATTCTGTGACACTTTTCCAAACCATTTATTTATTATGTTAATTCAGTAATTTTGCAACTGCCATCCATCATGTTGGTTGTTTGAAATTAAGGTGTATAAGTTTTTGTTTATTATTGGACACATTTTGTACTAAAATTTACTAGAGATTGTGAAAACTGCTGTTTAAATTAAACCTGCTCAACTACCATCTTTGATTCGGTTCCTTTTGAAGAAGTGGCATTTTATAGGCAATGGTTGGTCTAGGAAGTATTTAGCCTAAATCCTCATAGTTTCTAATATTTTGAGAAAATCTTAAATTGTTATACATTCCTTATCCATGACCCAGAGTTGAAAAAGTTCAATCAATAGATTTTAATAACAATAAAAACATAATTAAATGAATTTAGTTGTCTTGCTTCTCCCTAAACAGCTGAATTCAGACATTGCTTCACATTCATTCCTGTTTAGACCTTAATTGTATGAAGTTATGGTGGGCTCTCTCCCGAAAAGTCAGCCAGTTATGTCAAGTTTATTTCCTCTACCTCTTGGTAAAATTCAGACATCTAAATGGATTTGAGGTGATGACTGGCTGACAACATTGGTGTGTGTGTACTTTATTGTTTAGTTACTGTACATAAAATATTGAGAATTATATTTTGTCTTGTTTATGAAATAAATTTTGAATAATCTAATCTATTTTAGTTGCTCTCAATTGTAAAATTGAAAAGCTATTTTGGTTTATCTGTTTGCGTTTGTTATATGGAATTATATATATATTATAACACTATAATAATGATTATTTCACACACAGTAAATTCAATAAAATCTTTGTAACATACAGCTTTTCTGATATAGCTATCAGATTGAATTGCCATTAGTATTTGCCAATTTCCATTTATCTAGAAATGATAATTTTAAGTATTATAAAATCAATGTAGTAGTTTGTTAATTTTCATGTTTTTTATACTTTTTTTTTGGATACTATTATTGATATATCAAATAAAAAATCAAAAAAATCAGGAATTACTTTTAAACTATTAAATTAATTTGATAGACAATTCTCCTGGCTCTAATAGTTGAAGAGTGATCTACCAGTTCAGCGTTCTTTTCAAGATTGTCCTTCAAATGTTATAAGAGGATTGTGTATGGAATCAGATTTCATCCTGAGAATCTCCATGATTCGCAGTTTGCCCCTCTCTACAGAATTATGATCAGTCTCTGGAGTTAGGATGTTATTCGATATGCAAGCAACAGTTGGTTCCTAATGATAAAAGCGACATTTTGGAAAGATGGAACAATCACCTCATTTCTATAGATATGGAGTGTGTACTTGGTACTAGGTACAACCCACAGTACCATTATCCAGGCTCCTTAGATTTTAGCGGGGACTATGTCAAATTACAAATGCCACTATAATGGAAGAGGGCTTTAATGCAGCTCAGACACTCTGGGAGGTGTGAGTTATGGCTTTATCTTAAAGGTGTTGTGTATAGAATAAACACTGAGCTGGATTACTCCACATGCAACTTAAGAAGACCTGAAATGCTTGTTGATATCCTTGTTGAATGTCCCATGTACAAGTCAGGCTGGATTGGTTAGGACATTAAAATTGTGAATGATGAGCATTGACTGCCACTCTTACTTTCATTATCTAACAATGATATATTATTCAAAATCTTCTGGTTTATTAGAGAGGCTATCAAAATTAGATATTTCATTTTGTATGAATAGGGCAGCTTTAACCGATTATTGTTTGTAATGCTTCATGAGTTTGAAACGACATAAATAAATTCCCTATTATCTTCTGGGCTAGGACCTTGTAAGTTTCAAAATCCTTAGAAAGATCTTTACCAACCTGGACTCCACACTCCACCTTCTTCATGGCCATCTTTATCAAATGAACTAGTAGTATATCCCTTCCCTTATAATACCATCATAGGCTTTCTGAAAATCAATAATCAGGTGGTGCGTGGTGATATTGTACTCTTTGGCTTTTTCTTGAATACTCATGTTGACCTAAGACCTCGATTGAGACTTTTAAGCTGGCTGGTTTATATGTCTTCCATCTCTGGCTAAGGTATCTGGTTCGAGGCCTTGGAGTTTTCGATCCACCGATTCCATGAAAAGAAGTTTTTCATGTGGACTGCTGAGCATTTGCACATTGATCCTTTGTGTCCTCTTATTTGTAATTTTATGTTGTATTCTTGTAATCATCAAAGTCCATATTCACACCTCAGAACACCCTTACATCCATTAGACTCGTTGCAAACCTAGCACTTATAAAGATGTGTTCTATTTGATAAGTAGACCACCCTTAATTATAGAATTGGCATAGAAGAATTCCCTGTAAGCTTCTGGGCTAGAGCCCATCTTGTAATCTTATTATATTATTTACTATGCCAGTAATGTAAATATATTATTATCTCTTGTTATTATATCACATATATTATCACCAACGTCATTAATGTTTTATTTTAAATTTTTTCTCTATCTTTTTTATTAATTTAATATGTAGTATATTTATAATGTATAATGTTAATGTTACATGTAAAATAGTCAGCCAGACCCTCTGTTATTGTTCTATACAAAATACAGAATAAAATAAAAATATAAATAAATTAGTAATATATAATAAATTACAAAATAGGCTGAAATTGATTTTTCCTTTAAAATTTTATTGTGAATAAGAGTAAGGTTTGTAATAGTATAAATTGTAATTTCCTTATTTTCAGTAAGATCAACTTATCCAGGATTATGACAAATTAATCCTGTATATGTACTTATTTTTATTATGGGAACACTGGCTTATTCAGTTCTAATTAGTATTGTGTTTCAACAGATTCCCATGTGATTCAATTCTTAATGATATTTAGCCATTTTTTAATAAATAAGAGAATTTAAAAAAAGATATTGCTGAATTCTGAAAATAATCAAAGAACTTTTACATTTTATCTATTTTTAAAATAAACTATTGGTATATTGGCTAATGCATAAAGTCACAAAAATAAACTATGTACTGATTTCTATAATATCTTTCAATTTTCTAGACTTATACATTGGGGGGGGGCACTTTATTTTAAATTTAATTAAAACATGTTTCATGAACTATTTAATAATAATAATAATAAATAGTTGAATTGAATATTAGAAAATATATTTGAAATAAATATGTTCATTAAAAGAACATTAACAAATTTAGATTTTACATCACTGATGGATATTGGCGGGATAACTCTGGCTCCCAAATTGAAGTAGGTTTTGTTTATATGAATATTGAAATGGTTGATAACAAAACTTTCAACCGAAGGCGAGTATAATTGATTACTATTTTTTTTTTTGTAATGAAATAAATCATTGATTTGTACATTATTTCAGTTATGAGAGGACAATCAAGGATGTATGCCAAGTCATCCATCATGCAAAATTGGAAGAAAAAGACTTGAGACCTTTGACTCAGGTGTTGTACTTTGCTGAAGAATTTCCTGATTATAAAATTCTTGAATTGGACAAAGAAGTTTTTAAGTGTTTAAAGGAGTCTGGAAAGTATGTTTCAATCCTTCTAGTTCTTAAATTGTAATTTTACTATCTATTATATTATTTTTCTTTCTGTTTTCAGATTGGTCTTTAGAGGACAAAAAACAGATAAAGCAGTACTTTGCACTAATAATAAAACTTTCGACATTAAGGAAGCAGAAACTTCCAACTCAATGTTACTTGTTCCCAATCTGAAGTTTGCTGAAGATGTACCTGTTGAATTAGGTGATAGAGATATTGAAGAGAAAGAGGTTTGTTACATTATTTACTATTTCAAAATTTGTTCAAATGATGTTACTGTTCATACTCTGGTCTAATTGAATTGGATTTTAAGATTGTAGGGGTTTATCATGAATACTTTGAGTTAAAACAAATCAGGCCTCGTCTCTTGCCTTTAAGAAACTTTCTCAAGATGAAACCTTATAAAGGTATTGAACTTGAAGAGGAAGACCAATCTGGTGAAGGATATTTTAGTACCGAAAAGCTATTAGAGGTTGTACAAGCTAGTGAAGAAGAACTTGTTGATGCTTTACGTGATGTCCAAGCGTTTTCTGTAAATGGTTTGTTTATTAGATTTCAGATGGCCTTAAAAGTTTCCATTTGTCTGTTTAAGATATAATTATTTTTGATTACAGATAAATGGCGAATATTGGATAATGATTACCACTTCAGAGTATTAAGCCAATTTTTAGGTTTAGTTGAATCTAATAGTTGGCCTCTAGATCAAGTACCTATTGGTGAAAGTCTTTCTGAGCTATCTGCACTGTTTCCGGATTATGTATTACATCACATTTTTCAAATATATCTTGAACCGTCTGGTGATTATACTGATACTGGTTAGTAATTTTTTTATTAAATTATAATCTTACCTTATATTAGAGATTGGTTCTTGTGTTTTTTACATAAGGCTATTTTTTTATTTTTTTTTGTAATATATAATCGAGAGGGATAATAGTACCATCAAACCTATTCTAATTAGAGTGGGAAAGTCAAGATTAATTCCTTGGGTCCGTCACGGAATCAATTTTAACCAGTCCAAGCTGGATTCTAACCGGCATCGTTAGACTCGAGAATGTTAAAGTTTACGCTTAAACACCCTTGGTCATCACAACCTCCTTACTGTTGGGACTGTCTGAATTTAATGCATTTGTTCTTGATATTTCACAGCCACTAAAGGTTTTCGTGGGAAGAGTAGCTAATCTCTCCACTCAATCCCTAATCTGGAGGACCAGTCCTGTTAAGCTCGAAAAGGACCTTTTCTGGATGCTCTCAGCCGAACCGGCTGAAATCTCGATTTTAATTTCTCTCCTTTCTCATTTTTCATCCTGACTAAAGACAGACAATGTTGGAATTTTTCTTAAAAATTATGAGCCTAAAATATGAATCAAATATTTTTTTATGAAGTATCTAATTAAAATATATACACACACACTATATGTATTAGTTGCAGTTGCACAGTTTTTAAAATCTAAAATAATGTACTATGTTTTAATAGGTGATGAACTGTTTAGGCTGGTTGACTACAAAGTTTGTCGTTTTCTTGGCAGTTATCTGTTAAGACCAGTGGAGAAATTTAATTTAAATGATTTTCTTAGAACTTGGCAAGATAGTGTACCTGAAGGTATTTTAATTTTTGTATTCATTTTCCTAAAAAGATGTTGATGTGTTTATTATTATGATTTCTCAACTTAAATATGTTTATGGTTGAAGAAGATTATATGTATATTGTAAAATGTTTTGTAACTTATTTCCTGGATTAAGATTTATCTGTTATATTGTATTTTTCAATACCAGAGGCATTTAAAATTTAATTAAATTTTCATTACCTATTAAATTTATCGCTACTGTTAGTGCAGAAGGTTGTATGTATCAATTTTCCATGTTTATTCTATTTGAAGGTGACACAAATAGAATTTTTGTTGTCTAAAACTGCATTAAGTAGTCTGCTACTATGGAATAATAGCAGAGCAAAATAATACTAGTATATGAAATTATACTAATAAATCATAGATAATAAGTTATATCATATACATCATAAATAATAAGTTTTTCTCTTCTATAAAAAACTCTTTACATTCTATAAAAATTGTTTGCATATGACCTTTTGTACTTACAATAGCCATATGTCCCATAACATTTTATGTAATTATTTATCATATATTTAATTTTAAAATTATTGAGCTTCTGTTAATTTAACAAAATAATAGATAAATAAAAGAAAAGGAAATACTCTCACAACACGATAGGTAGAAGGAATCAAGCAAATGATATATGCTTCAGGATCAAAATCATGATGTTGAAAGGATTTGTTTTTGGATTACAAAGCCATCTTAGAAATAATATGATTTTTGAAGTTCCTATTAACAAAAATTTGGGTCCACCCAAATAAAACATTTGAAGGAAAGTCATGTACATCAACCAAAGCAATGACCAAGTTTTCCTTGCCTACATAAGAATGTTCCTTTGATGTATATAAGGAGGAAGTATGGACAGATAGGAATGACACAGAAGCCTTGGCATGGAGAGAACCTGAGGCCTTAAAATATGAGAATCTGAGATTGACCTAATACTTCGAAAAACTGAATGAAGACAAATTACCTTATAAATTCTTATTCCTGAACAATATCTGTGGAAAACATCTGGCAGATCAATCATGTTAACATTAAGCTTTCGTTATAAATTTTACAGCATTCTTATAATTAGTGTTCTTGTAATATTTCATTGATAATTGAGTTAAAACAACTTGATTCAAATTGTTTAATTTTATTTTGGTGAAATTATTTAGTTTTATTTAATTTTTTTTAAAAATAGGAATGATAACCTCTCTTGAACAGCTCGGTGGTTTAGCTGTTTTGACCCCTGATTCGAGACCGCCAGCCATTTGGCTTCTTGATGAAGAAGATCTGCCTGAAGATTTTCAAGAAAGATTTACCATTCTTTTTTCTGCCAAAGAAAGCTGGACTTATGATGAAATACAGCCATATATTAAGTATGTTTCATTTTACTGCTATAATTGTTAAATTTGGTATAATAAGAACTGTCAAGTTTTTAAAAAAAAATTCTTAGACCTTATTTATGAGACTTCAATTGTAGAAACTTGAGTGTGGGACTAGTAGCGTCCATACTAAGCATAGTTTTAAAAGTAAGGTTATTATGCTTTGCCGCTGTTCTATTTACATCTCACTGGGTTCTTCATGACATTAATTGTAACTGTCAGCATAAATTATATAAATTATTGTACTTTTGAGGAGCTCCAGATCAACATCATTTTGTCCATTTCCATTCTCACAGTTCATTTTACAGTAAACAACAAATTTCAAAGCTTTGTCACTGAATGGCAAGAAGCAATATTGTCCATAAAATTTCATAATTAGATTTTTTGCAAAAAATAGTTTATGATTCTGAATTTTGTATGTAAATGGACAAAATGTATTTTGATTTTGAAAGCTACCTTCTTCTCCTTACTTTTCATGTTTATTTTCCAGATTTTTAAAAATGAAAATGAAATAAATGGTGCTTATCAATTAGCTATAAATATCATGTGTATTATGTTATTGATTTGTATGCTTTATAATTATTGACTTTTATAATTTTGTTGTTCTACTTGATTTAAATTTTACTATTTTATTTTAGGAGGTTAGCTACGGAGAAGCAGTCTGTAAATTCAATACTCACAAAATACTCCAGAACTTCGAATGTTAACGGAGTAAGATACCATAGTGCAAGGCACGGAAAATAAGATTGTTAAATTTTTTAAATTTTATTATGTTATAATATTGTTCCACATTGTGTATTACTTTGTTTATTAGCTATTGTTTGTATGTAATTTTATTTTAATAACAGTTGATTTTATATTTAGTTATTTTATTGCATTTCCTTTCCCAATGTTTTATCAATAAATTAGGGCCTTTTCATGATGTGTACTACTTTTTTTTTTGGGTCCTTCCCTTCCTGGCCTTAAAGGTTACATGGAATTTTCCCGGACAAGAGGATCTGGGATTAAAAGAATCCCCCGGTACCGGGAAGCGAACTCGTGGCTATCTTATATCAATTGTCTCATATATCAGGTTACTGGGCAACGGTTGTGCTATGCACACACGTAAGCCCATTCGGGCACTCCGCTCACTTGGTTTGTATTACTTACTTTGACGGGCTCTACACTCCGAGGTGGACTTTGGCTTCCTTCACGATCTCTGTCCTTCATTCTTCCCCTCCAATTCACCAATCCCATCCTCTTTAAATCCCTTTTCACGTCACTTTTTCAACCTTTTCCCAGGAAGTTTCTTCCTAAGTATCTTTTTCGTTGCTATGTCATCAGCCGTTCTTTCCACTTGTTATAGCCAGCTAATTCTAACCTAAATAAAGCGTACAATATCCTCATGGTTCAACAGTTCATCCAGCTCCTGATTTGTACTCGTCCTCCATTCTCCTTGTATGCATAGGGGACCAAAAATTCGTCTCATAAATTTTCTTTCAATAAGAATTACTGCCTTCTGGTCAGCTACTTTCAGTAGCCAGGCTTCGGCTCCATAGCACACAACCGGTTGTACCAAGGATTTGCACACTTTAAGTTTTGTGATTGGGTAGAAGTGTTGATTTAAAAAGCTTTAGCATACCAAAGTACGCTCTATTGCCTACCATGATTCTCTTATTTCCGGTCTAATCAAGTTTTCATTATTGACTTGCGCCCCAAGATATGTGAAACTCCACTGCTTCAAAAATTTATTCCTGAAAAACAAAACTTTCTGGCTTCCTTCTTGAATCTGAGGTGAAGACTACCATATACTTTGTTTTTGTGTCAATAACCATTAATCCAACCTTCTTACATTCTACAACCAGTGTCAATAGAACTTCAACTATTGCCGCTTTGCTTTTACCTGGAATTGCAATGTCCTCAGCATGTCCCAATATTTTTCTTGTTTGGCATGTTAAGTTACCAACGCGTGATTCCTTTAACTGCATTATGTAGCACCAAGTTAGATAGAATTGCTGAGAGTGTGTCCTCCCTGCCTTACTCCAGAGTTAAATTGGAAGATTTCACTAACCTGATTTCCGATCATTAGTACTTTGGCTTGTGTAGTAGTATAGCCAATTCAATTAGGTGGATTAGTATAAACGGGATGTTGAATTCATGCAATGCACTAAAAAGTTAGGTTCTTTTAATTTGGTTGGATAAAATTTTATATACGACATTTAAAAGGGTTATTTCCTAGTAGTTTTCACATACCATTTTATCACCTTTCTTGTTTATTGGGAAAAACAAAACAGCACCATTCCTTAGGTATTTTCTCATCAAGGCATACTCTCAGAATCAGATTATATAACTGTCTGCAAAAATCTCCACTACACTTAGTAATTTATGCTGATATACTATTCTCTCCAGGAGATTTGTTATTCCTCAATCCTAATGTGAAGGAAGTCCTCAAAGGAAGGTGGTTCAATAATATTAGGATCGACTTTCGTACCCGGCTCAGAGGCATCCAGAGAGCTCCAGAACCAGGGCTATGAAAGGGTCCCTGGCTGGCTAACTTACAAAGTTTTAATTTTTATCTTCCAAATTTACATTAAAATAAAGTGTAGATAAAATACAGGGCCATCGCGTGGGCAAGGCGACTAGGGGGCGTAGCCGATTGGTGACATGATTTTTCTTTATATTTCGAAAAACAATACAGCGTTATATTTCGCTCATGTTTGATAATGTGGCGCCCACCGATGTTAATGTTAATCCAAAAATAGAAGTCATTGCACTATTTGTGAACATCGATTTTAAAAGAAAAAAGTAAGATTCAATTTACTTAAGTTTATGAATAGCTTAGGGGCAGTTTTCGAAGGAGGGAACGATTGTCCGCTTCCTCCTCCCTCGATTAAAATAAAGAGAAAAAGTCCGAAGAAAAACATTTCGCCAATCCTCCCTGTGTGTTCCTTTAATATCCTCCAAATCAAAGACGACAGTACCTTGTAGGCAATATCAAGAGCTACCTCAATAAGTGTCAGGCAGGATTTCACCATTCTTGAAGATGGGGCATACAATGATAACTGTAAACCATTCTGCTGGCATCCTTCCAGTCATCCATACATCAAAACCTATTTCATACAGTCTACCCCGATCTCAAAGTCAACCCCAGGAGCTTTTTAATTTTAAATCCTGAAGAGAATTTCAATAACCTTTTCCTTCACAGGAGGTGCTTCTATCTCCATGGTCATTCTCTGTAGTTGGATTCAAATCGCGGTTCTGCTAATTTTCATTACCCTCTCCTCCTTGTTCAGCACTTCTTCTTCTTCTTTTTCGGCGTTACGACCCATTATTTGAGTCATAGTTTGCTCAATTGTTGGATAAAATTGGTTCTGCTAATTTTCATTACCCTCTCCTCCTTGTTCAGCACTTCTTCTTCTTCTTTTTCGGCGTTACGACCCATTATTTGAGTCACAGCCTGCTCAAGCTTAGACCGCCAGTCCTCCCTGTTCCGTGCTGCTGCCTTCCAGTTCATTACACCGAGCAGAGATCTTGCGTCTGCAGCCACACAGTCTTCCCAGCGAAGTCTGGGGCGTCCAACCCGCCTGGTACCATACATTTGCCCAGCTAAGGAACTTCTTTGTATCCATCCTTATAACGTGACCAGCCCAGCGAAGTCTTGATACCTTTACGAATGTTGATACGTCTATTTCTTTGTACCTCGCTCTTAACTCAGCATTCGTTCTTCTTCTCCATGCGCCTCCCTCACATATACCACCATATATACGGCGAAGCACTATATGTAAGAACTGGTCGTATAATTGTCTTCTAAATTCTCACTTTCGAGGCCTTCGACAACACACTACTTCTCAAGAGTTTATGGAGGGAGAAATAGGTGCAGTTTGCGGCGATGATCCGTCTTTGGATTTCTTCTTCAATACAGTTATTACGGTTAATCTGGGACCCTAAGTATATGAATGATTCCCTGGGGGCGGGTTGGCCGAATAGGCTAAAGCGTGTGCACAGCACCGCGAGTTGCCCGGCAACCAGATATATGAAGTTTTGAGAGATAAAAATAAGTACGAGTTAGCGTCCCGGTGCTGGAGGGGATTTTAAATTCCCCACCCTCATCCTCCGGCCCGGGGAAATCCCGTATAGCCTAAATGGCGAGGTAGGAAAGAACAAACAAAAAAAAAAGGAAAAATAAATATAAAAATATATATATATATATATGAATGATTCCACTCATACAAATATACGCAAATATACTTAGTTTTTTTTTTTTTGTTCAGCAGGATCTGAAAATTCCGATTCCACCTACTTTTTATGTCTTATGCTTCTTATGATTGGTCAGAAGGTTCCATTCTCATCATTTATGGAGTCTTTCTTTGGCTTGAATCGCTGAAGTATATTATTTACATATGTAACTGTATTTATATTACGCCGATTTCGATTTCTGTGTTTGTCTGCCTACCTTTATGATTTATATTAATATCTGTTAATAAATATATAGTGATTTTTATTTATAGTCTGAAATAACTCGAATCTATGGAGAACAATGAAAAAAAAAGAAGAAAAGGGAGGGGGCGTCTGGGAAAATCTCGCCTCGGTCGTCCACCACCCACGCGACTGCCCTGATAACATACATTATAGAATATATTTATCTAATATTTTTTTGCAGCCTTAATAGCAGCTGAGTCTTAGCAGTAAATTTAATATTTGCCAGTGGCTCGGAAAAATTGTCTTTGAGCCCTCGGTTTCTCTTCATGGCCGTAATTGGAACTAAAGTGGCACAAGCAGGGCATTCTATTTTAATGTTTTGATTGTGATATTCTTTCGCGTGGAATCTATCTTATGAGCGTCACATTGTAACCTTCCGCAACAACAGAAATCAGGAAACCGTTTTATTATTATTAATTATTAAATGGTACTACATCCCAATTATTCGAGACTTGGCCTGCTCCAGCATGGATCTCCAGTTCTCCCAGTTAGTTGCTGCAGTCTTCCAATTTCTGACACCAAGTAGTCACCACGCATCAGCAGCCACACAGTCCTGCCAGCCCAAATATGGTCTTCCCACTCGTGTGTTTCCATATGCAGGCTCATTCATAGCTCTCTGTGGGGGTGCATTCATATCCATACGCGCGACATGTCCTGCCCAGCGTAGTCTTGCCAGTACGGTGAGAAGGAATCAATCAGAAATTGGAGTGTGGATAGAAATATCTCTGTTTTTCGGCTGCTGCGCCCTAGGGCAGATCCTGTCTATGATCCTGTCTATTTCACTGCATTGGCATGGATCAGGTTTATGATTTCTAGGAAAAGTTGTCGAAAGATAACTAAATTTTATTCTTTAGGTATTTATTTTTTTTTTCGTTTGTTCTTACTAAAAAGTGTATTTTTAGAACCATTTCTTATCTTTTTTAAACTTTGTATTTTTTAAAAATTAGTATAAGTAATAGTAAATGAACCGGCAATTAACTATAAAGTTTTTATAAAATAATTTTGGGAATTAAGAACATTCTGTTTAATCGTGTACATAATGAATATAAATAATTTATTTATATTCGTTAAGAGGTGAAATTCGATTTTTTTTTATATTAAACCTTTTCAAAGGGTGACATTGTTTTTATAATTTGTCCATATGGCCAGCCTGGGTAGTTGAAAAAACCGTTAAAATTTTTTACATCATCATCACCAATCTCTTAGGTAATTTTAAAATAATTATTAAATAGAATACCGATAATTTATAAAGTTATTTATTGGGATTTCTAAGTCTATTTCTAATGAATCAAGAGGAAAATCCCATACAATGAATTCTATTTTGAATTGAATTTTTTTTAATTACCTGTAAGAGTTTGTTAGAAATTTTTAAATTTTGTTTTTATTTACTTATAGAG